CACTCACTCACTCACTCACTCACTCACTCACTCACTCACTCACTCACCACCACCGCGGATCTCCACCTTCATCACCCACTTCTCTGGACCCCAATGCGTCTAGATCTCTAGACTTTCTGCTGCTACACCTCTAGACCTCACACACACTGTTTCGGGTCTCTTACCGGGATAATTTTGGACATCGTAGGTTGCGCAGGATTTTTTTATGGTGCATGCTCTGTCTTCCATAAGTTTACAATACTTTACATGCATCCGTTGGAGATCCATTGCGACAATCCACAGAAACACCGACTTAGCCCTTTCAGATGGACGAGGCAGTGGGATTCCACGTGCCCACCCTGCATCTCAACACAGACTTCATCGCGACCCTGTTTGTAGGGTTCCTTGATGGACACCCTCACGTCCCACCCAATGTCGCCTATCATGTCACTACGTTGCATGGACCTTCCTCCAGGGTGGATCGTATTAAAAGGATTTATAAAGGCTAAATCACTCCTCACTCGAGCTAAACATGTTGGTCCAAACATATCTAACCATGTTCATCATTGTTCGGTGTATTACCGTATCAATATCCCATTCTCATTCAGTGGAGCCAGACGAACCACTGCGCAGTGGCATAGCATTCCAAGAAACCGAGGCAAAGGCTAACCTTTCGTTTTGGTGTGTTTTCCCACACTTTCCTATACCTGGTACCCCTGAAGAGTGATAATTATCACTCCGTTTTGTAATTATCAATCTTTTGGACAGTGGTGTGACAAAAAGCACTCCGGAGTGAGAATAGTTGTTCCAGAATGGTTTTTGTTGCTCCGCAACGTATCTTGAACGCAAAGCGAACGTTAATTGAACGCAAAGTGAACGCACTGCGAACGCAATCTGAACGCAATTGCGGTTGGACTGATTTTTTCCACTCTGGAGTGCTTTTTGTCACACCACTATCCAAAAGATTGATAACTACAAAATGGAGTGATAATTATCACTCTTCAGGGGTACCAGGTATATGTAATTGCGTTTGTAGACGCTAGACTCAGTAGATACATGGAAAAAGGATATCAACATGTTGTGTCCTTTGATGGTCCGGGAAAACAGCCAGATTCGGATTCAATTTACAAGCACGAACCACCATTCTGTCAGCTCTCCCTGTCAAAGATCGATCGAAGCTGCCAAGGTCTGCATGGGTCCTACAGTGACTGGGCGGCACATGTGTTTTTTTGTTTCGGTCGCCGCAAGATGGCAGGGATGGAAGTATGAAAAGAACCCGGAGCCTCAGTTCGTACTCCCAAAAAGGTTGGCACTATGCTATAAGATACATATATGTTTTTATTGAACATGTGTCATGTCCCATCTTTGAAATTTTGGAAAGTCAGTGTAAAACAAAATCGCCCACCGCCACATGCCCATGAGCCGTGGCGTTGGGAGGATCTTCTGGGCGCGGCGGATTGCGATCAAAATCCTCCTCGCGGCGCGGGGGACCTTGTCGCCCGAGACCAGCTGCTCGGAGAAAGATGCCTCGTCCGGTCGGAGGCCTTCGGAAGAAGAATGGCTGGGAGGATGGCCGTGTTTCGATCGTCCTGTTGGCCGTTTAGCTGGGGTTAGAGGGCCTAAGAGTGGCCAGAGGCCACCATGTGTGTTTGTTTCCGCCGCTCGTGTCATGAAGTTGTCCCAATTCCACGACGTGTGAAGCAAGAACATCGCTGTTTTTGAACAAGGCCTGCAGAACCATCATCATCCACTGTTATGGGCAATAGGATAGATCTAATGTATCTTAGTTTAATAAATGTGTTTGTAACATTTATAGGGAAGAAGTTGTTTTTTTTTGAGGTGTTTGATGAGACGAGTTGAATAGAAGAAAGGTTGTCCCGGGCGACCTTTTTTCATTGAAACTATTCCCAGGTTCTTCTTTGGGGTCACCCTATCAACACAACTCGTTGGGAGTGCTTGATTGCGGGACAATGTGTTTTCTTACAGGTGGAGCGGAACAAAACCGTCCATCATAGTATTACACGACTATGCCATCACGTGCTATCTTTGAAACCATTCGTACCACCATTCCATCAGTGCTATGTCTTTTACATGCACGTTTGGGCGTGGGTCAAGAGTCAAAACCCCAAACCCAAAACCTTCATTCGACATCCACAGCAGTCCATACTTGCTTTCAAGCAGGCAGACAACTTAGATTAGCATTCATTCTAGAATCGTGATGCTGCACTTTATAGTCATTCCTCGTCAACTTTGGTGGCGTTCTTGCTTTAAGTTGATGTGTGTTCAAACACCCCAACACGCGCTTTGATTCCGATATTGAAGGCTTGTGTATAAACGACATGCGCATAGACCGACCGGTGTGTAATTAGTGATTAATGGGGGGTCGACCAGGGTGTTTCCGGTTTTGACCCATGTCCCATCCAGGATCATTTGAAACACGATGTGCCCAGAGTTGGGGATATCAATGAAACAGGGTTCCAGAATGGGGTACCTTCCCACTCACGACACATGGAAGTGGACATCCACCCTGTTTGTTAAAGGGACATGCTCTTGCAATGCTGCAAGGGCCCATGCTCGGCTTCACGTTGGTGAGTCAGAGTGTATGTAAATGAGCAGAGGATGTGAGCTGAAGGCCTCCAATCATTAAGAATTGGCCGCCTCCAATTAAAATCTAGCCCAGCCTCGTAAGGGCATAGCCTGGCTGATCAGGCCTTTATGATGATGAGGATGATCAAGGTGATGGAGCAGCAGCAGCAGCAGCAGCCGGTTGAGGCCTTCAGCGCATGCTGGTAGGCTCTTGCACTGTAGGGATCAGACAGATATCATTCCGAAACACTCCATGGGACTGGCATATGTACCTACATTGGGGTGGTTGAAACGAGGTCAATGTAGGCCCTATATTTCATTGGGGATTGTTTTATTTTCTTTCTGCAGTGCTTGATAATGTTTGATCCTTATTGTTTGATTTTTTTTAAGTTATGGTGTCATTTTTTCATTGTTTCCTCTAATATGTGTCAAGAGAGAAAGCCCCAGGCCGCACCTCAAGCTTTAACGTCGGTCTCTAGCTCCACCGATGACAGTATCAGAAAAAGTAACATTGTCCCGTCCCTTGGGTTTGTCCTATTGCATGTAACAGTCAGTATAGACAAGAACATCACTATTTTTAAAGGAGGCATGCAACTGAGCCATCATCATCCACTGTTATGGGCAATTTGATAGACCCAACCCATCCCTTTGCTGCCTTTGCTTTGTGCGGGCATGGGTTTTCCTGCTAAAATTCCCGGACGCTCCTTTTGTTTGTATTTACCTACATTGGAGTGGTTGAATTGCAGGTTTTTCTGAAACTTTCCCATTGGTCTGCATCGGTGGAGGTGTTCCACTGAACCAATCAGTGATGCACCCCTGCCCCGATTTGCCCTATTCAAGCGGTCTCAACTTCCTCCATCAGCCCTAGGGATCCAAGTAGCTTCTCAGAAGCTGATCGGAGACACTGTTAAGTTGTGTAGGTTTGGAGGGTCGAAGTACCTTCTCAGAAGGTACGACTGGATCCCTAAAAAACTCAGCGCAAGGTCTCAGGGTTGGGCCAGCCGGGACGGAGCACCCCATCGACGGGTTCCCGGACTATGCAGATGGATTGATGTCCTCTCCTTGACCTTGCAAGATTTGGCTTCTACTAGACGCTCAACAGGGACATCATCCGCTGGAATCCAGCAAAAACGGGGGAGACCCTTCCCACTGCACCCTTGCCAAACACTCCATGAGGCTGCCATATTTGCCGATCAGTTGGGGTGTGAGGGGGGTCAATTGATCGGCAGTCCTATGGCAGTCCCATGAGTCGTCTCTGGGCTTTGAAGCCTTGGCCAGGTGACTCGGAGCTGAGGCACTCCGAGTGGTGGCGGAGCTCTTCGAATGGAAGAGGTCTCACCGAAAGCGTACGGCGTCAGAGATAGAAATCAATATTCAGCACTCGACTCTACATGCGGCGACATGCGGTCTTTCGTTTGGATTGGAGTCATGGTGACCCTTTAAAGGAAGGCCCATGTTGGGCGCCCGCGGATGCCCGAGAAAGAGCGCCATGCTGGCTGTGCGTGTCCGGAGAGGGGGACAGAGCGCTGTTTGGCTGCAGGGACCGTTGGACAGTGTGGTTTTCGTTACGGAGATAATATCAATGGACGATATATCCTTAAGGATATGATTATTGGTTTGTTGCTTACAATCTGTCCAAACCGACGTTTGTCCCTTGTACCCAACTGGACCGACGTACCCACTCGAACGGGGTCGGCATCCAGGAGTGGTCGGTGGGTTTGGATCGAAACCCAAAAATAGATTGTCACAAAGGGTCTTTGGCCATGCTCTTCCCCATTCAGTGAGTCAAATCATTCACAATATTTTATAGGTCAAATCAAATCAGTCAGTTCACCACTCTTCCCCTAAACCATGCCCTTCAAGACCCAACTCCCCTGAACTCAGGGGGACCGCACCTACCGTCTACCCACCCCACCCACTCCACCCACTCCACCCACTCCACCCACTCCTCCCATCCCTTGGCAGCAAACGCACCGAACTCGAGGCTCCGTGGTATGTATCGCGGGGGACTCTTCGGCACGTTGGCGCTCCTGCTGGGGGCTCCCGAGTTGGGGAGACCGACGAGCCGGACGGAGAAGTAGGACTGGGGAGATGGAGGGGTTTGATGCCCGGGGACGTGTGATCACTTGGACCTGGGGACTGGTGGCTTTGGACTGTTTGAGATGCGAAGAGACGAAACCTAAGCTTCTTAGATAGTTGAGAGACAGATGCGAAAGCTGCCCTCAGGTGGAGATGGCGAACAGTGTACAGATGCACTTTGATTAGTCTAAGTAAGGGATTCTGACAAGCTACATACTGGTGATTCATACGTGGTGGTGGGGAGAAGAGACGTCAGATATGGGGAGAACTGGCCTGCTGCATGGCATATTCTGCTCAATGGTTACTTTTTTCCGGTTGCCTGGGGTCTGGAAGAGTGTTGGCGCCAGCAGGTGTTCATCCTCTGGAAAAGGTTCATGAACATGTTTTCGTCACGACCTCTTGGGATAAACCCTCATCCTAAAATGGATCATCTCGGCAGACAGCCCGTGTGAATTGGGAGTGGATATGTTTGTCGTCTCTGATAGGTGCTGGTAGTATGTACAGTATATGTCTTGAATTTTTATATACTGAATTTATTGCTTATGTTTTTAAACCAAGGCCTTCTTCTCCCCATGTATTGGTCGTGCTTGGTGCTCGGTTTGCGCAAATAGAAACAGACTCATCCTGGCCTGCCGATGGTCAGGCCCGGACATTGCTTGTGGTACATGGCCTATGAAGGGTCTCTCAGATAGAATTGGGCGATTTCAGGGATGGGGCGATTTTCCTCGGTGCTACCCATGCTGTTTGACTATAAGTTGACAATGTCGATGGCCAAGGGATTTTTCTGAAAAACGAATGGAGGAAACGGTGAATACATTCTGAGCGCGTCAGTGGTGTGTATTTTAAGTTGGAGCCACTGTCCCGAAGGAACGAACCTGAAACGAGTTAAGCTGAGGGTCGACGCCCTTGAGGGGGGGGTTGTGGGAACGACTTGTCTCGTTGGTTCTGGCCATCAGACGGTTGGGGCGTTGCTGGTTGGTCTCGATTTGTCTCATTTTTGTGTGGGTGGTGGATGGTAACATGAACCCTGCAGGTCCAAGCAGTTTGTAGATGTTGGGCAAGCCATAGGGATTATCCGTATAGGTCTTTCAGGGTGGTTCGTTTGAGTGGTCGCCTAGTAGCGTTTTTGTATGTTTCAGGGGACACACCTGGAACTTACTTTTCTCAGAAATTGCTTTGGGTCTGCCTTTTCACATGGCATGCTCAGTCCCCAGTCTGTCCCCAGTGACCGATCGATTAGTGGAGGTCCAAGTGGCACTTGACGCCGCGCCTGCCCGCGCGCATGGCGCCGGCCGCCGCCGCTGCGCTGGCGGAATGTGCGCACGGGCCGAAGGGAACGGGACGTGCGCCCTGCGGAGTGTTCCTTGAATTCCTCAAATGGATTCCTGCCGTCTTCCTCTCATCCATCTCATCCTGATCCGGTCAGGAACTGACCGAAATGCTGGAGTTCCAATTCCCAAGCACGACCTGGCCCTGAACGTTTTCCCACCCCTGTCCCGAGAAGGGGCCTTTTTGGGTGGTGTTGAGCTACAAAACCAATCACTGAAACGGACAGTGATCGTATTGGATCAGCTTTACCACACATGCCACCAGGGCAGTCACCTGCCAGAAACCCTCTTCCCACCTAGCCTATGGGGGGGGGTCAATGTAGGCATATACATGGAGTGTCTGGGTTATGGGCATCCTAGAATCAGCATTGAGAAGAATATATTCATTGTCGTACCAAATCTAGAGCAACTTATACACACCTTGGAGCACTTTGTCCGACTAGTGACTAGTACCAAACACAAATTGAGGAAATCTGTGGATTCCCGCTCCAAAAATAGCGTGAACAAAGCGACAAGCACCCAAATATCTGGCGCCTCTTTTGTGGAGGTCTCCCTCCCTTCCATGCAGGCTCTCTGACAAAGATCCACCCCTTCCCACCGCTTCGCCGACGTCACGTGCTTCGCGACGATTCGTCGGTCGGCAGGCTGTTGGGTCGTCTCTTCGATGCCGGTGGAGAATGCGCCTGGCCCAGCGGCCAAAAGAGGTCTTTTGGGCTCACTGAGAGGTCAATCATGGAGGGGCGGAGACGGTTCTCTGGTCCCTGGCGTGGTCAGAAGTGTTCGAAAAAATGAGCTTCTCGATACCTTGAAATCACTGGCATGATTGATCCTGGTTGATTCATCTTCTCACCCGATTCAGAACTTGTGGCTCCAGTCAACCAAGCCGGGTCGACTGCTGCTGCCTTGCCCGCCCCAAACGTGTCGAGGGGCTTACGATTGGGGAAGAGGGCGGCAAGCCATGCGACCATCCGTCGAGTCCTGGAGAGGTCAATCTTTGTCTGTCCATGAAGAAGTCCGAAAAGGCATACTTTCAAACCCTTAGTCCTTTGGTTTAGAGGGTTTCTTACTATAAACCATGAACGTTTAACACATGTTAAAACCTTAGCAAAGTACCGAGTGGGTTTCGCTTCAATCACGCGGCTGCAGGTGGTGGTCCGGCTCCAGTGCCGTCCTGCAAGGGTTCCGGGGCCTTGAGTGGAACGGGTGGAACGCCGCTGCGTCCCTACCGGTGGGTTGGGTGCCGCTCCCAGGTCCGGGACCCGGATTCCCAGGTCTGGACGTCCAGGAGTCGGGAGAGGAGTCTTCAGCGACCAAGGTCGCCTGGCGCCAGGTGTGCAGACCGGAGGCAGCAGGGCCAGCAAGGTGCATGCAGCGCGGAGTGCCTGAACTCAAGCCCTTCAGCGACATCGGAGTGATTTACACCTGCTACACCATGGGGTTTGGATGTGGGAGTGGCTTTATTGAGAAGCTGGCCAACGGCCAAATGTCGTTGATCACCAGCAGCCACGCTGTGGCTACCTCCTACTCCTCATGTGCAATCTATGTCGGGAAGACTATAAGGTTGTATTCACTGGCCGAGTCACAGTGGGGGTGCATCCTTCTTCGGCACCAGCCACACCGGCGACTTGGTCGCTTGGACCCGGTGTGGCTGCCTGTCAAACGAACGGGAGAAGACAGGCTGGAGTTTCATGAATACCAAGTTGTTGGAGGCATTGTTCAGACAGGACATGATCAGCAAGGTCACCTTCAGGCTGTGTGTAGGAGCCAAGCTATCTATCTATCTATCTACCTACCTATCTACCTAGCTACCTAGCGACCTAGCTACCTATCTACCTACCTACCTATCTACCTATCTACCTATCTACCTATCTACCTACCTACCTACCTATCATCTATCTAGCCACTTTAGCTATATTAACCTCCACAAGCATCAAATGGGATCGAAATAGAGGTTTGACATGTTCCTCCACCCTGCTAGCTTTGACCAGCCTCTACCGCCCAGACGGTGGTATCTAAATATACTTGATAGAGTATATACTTGATAGATATTTACAAGACTTTCTGCAAATTGGCCCACCCAACATCCCCAACATCAGGACTGGCGACACCCAATCCACCAAGAGTTTTGGAGTTTGTAGGTAGTGTTTCCGAATCGAGGACCTCCCAAGCCCAACGGTCAGGTTGGACCATTCTGTTGATGGCTAGTTGGCAGGTACAACCAGGAGTGGTGCCCCCAATTTGGGCCGATTCAACCACATCATGCCTGGAACGAGCGGATGCTTGTTGGTCACCACAACAGCCACGTGCCTAGGCTCCGCCACTGCATTGGGGCGTCCAGTGCTGAGGGGAAGTGCGACCAGTGAGTCCTTCAAGCATTTGGACCTACTAGACTGGACTTCTGGTCCTTTTGTGACGCAGCTCATTCTGTTTACACTATACAGTGTTGTCGGTCACGATCCGGGCACCCCAATCGTGATGATCAGTTCTGGTTCGTTGGATCCTCGGATCGATTTGTCAGTTCTGGGCCCAAACATGAAATGGTGTCCTACATCAGTTGCAATGTTGCAAGAGCTTAGCCAATGGGCCAATGCCTAGCCATCCTTGACCCTTCAAGATGCAGAAATTGAAGAACATCTTTACTGACCTTGCAACCACTTTAAAAGAAGGAGGACAACATCGCGGTATTCTCGGCAAAGTCCTGAATAACCATGGTTTAATTCAGTCTTACCGTATAGACTGCCGCTCTCATGTGAGTAATTGATCCAAGAGTCTTAGGGGGTACAGAATTCATTACGACCTTTGACCAAGACAGACCATGAACCGACAGGTGCGGGTCCTGTTGCTTCACAACTGCTCTGCTCCTGAGGCCTCTCTTCTCGAGTTGCGGGCGCTCTACCAGGACGGCTCGTTTGTGCCTCCAAAAAGATCCACGGTGGCGTCGTGACGCGCTGGACCAAAGCAACCGAAACAGGGGTGGCAGCGAGGTAACTGGGAAAGGGTGAGAGAGAGAGAGAGAATGCAGCTTCTGAGCGTTGATGGAGATGGAAATGTTGAAAGCTCCGAAGTCGAAATGCCTAGAGAGCCGAACGAGAGCCTGTATCCACCCGCCCAGCGGCTGCCCACGTCGCTCTTCAAGACACGGACACCGAACAAATCTTCCAAAGTGCAAAAAAGGGAGAACCACTTGGTCTTTGGATCTTTGAGGATCTTTGAGGATCAACATGGATCAACCTTTGCTCGACAGAAATTCACCAAAAAAAAGAACCACCAATTTTTCAGGATTCGACGCATGGAGGGAGCCATGCGTTGACGTGTCGTCGACGTGTCAGTTGCCGCCTGGTGCCATGACCCACAACCAAATCTGTGTTGTTTCAAGGGCTCCCAGGACTCGTTGGGCCGGAAAAAACTGTTTTTGTGGCCGTGTTCTCCGAGCTTCTGGACAGGAAGGTGGCCTCAGACGCTGGTGGAACGGCAGTGTGTTGGGTTGGGATGCCCAGCCTATAGTGCATAGTATAGTGCATAGTATAGTGCATATATTTGCCCACAGGTCTGGTGCTGGTTAAGGCAATGATGTCTATGTCACTGATGTCCTGAATTATGTGACAAGCCACAGGCCCATAGCTTGAATCTCATCGGCGTGTGAGCACAAGAGGCTTGTCTACAGGGAATCATTGGCCATCTACAGGTTCAGCATGAGGAGACCTATGAATCGCGCGTATCACCTGAGCATGGCACGGGCGTATCGAAAGCGCGGACGATATCAGGTTCAATGTCCCGACACTGGTTAGTCAAGTTTTATTTCGATTACGTTGGAGTGAAGATAATTCAATACAAACAAATGCAATGAATAGAGAATATCTGGGCTTTGTTCCAGGAGCTTGTGATGCTTGTTGATGGATCATAGGCCCGACTGGACCCCGTCCCAGCTGGTGCCATCCCCACTTTCAAACGTGTTTCCTCCAGCAGTTCTTATGTTCAGAACGGGTTCTTCCACCCCAAAAAAACAGATGGGTTGGAGAGCTGAAACCCTAGTGTGGTCATGCCACGCTTGATTTGCCACCCAGTCATAGAAGCGGACAGCTCACTTTTGGTGTGCGTATGCAGGAGTGGATGGGGTGGGGCATGCCACATTGTACAAAACATCGCTCAAACTGATTGAGTCCTGATCAGCCATATGCATGTGGTTTCTGGGTAGATGGCCTATAGACCTCCAAAATGAACGCAATCTACCCTCCTCCTAGCTGCTGAGCTCACCGCAGTCAGCACACGCCCCCCTCCTGTAATGCCCTTCTACCCGCGTCCATCGAAGCGAAACTGAGGCTTGGCCGCTTCGCTCCCGCAGTCAGCCTTGTGGCGCACCGGCTCAGTGGGTCCAGTCGGTGAGACCCGGAGAAAGACGTGCTTCGGAAGACCCGGGGCCACCTCCAACGACCTTCCCTTTTTGGGGATCCGTTTTCGTACCGAACCTCACAAGGGACCAAGTACTTGGAGCCTCCTGGCACCTACAGTCTCCAGTGTCGAACACATCACCGTACCTGAGAAGGTACTTGGATCCCTGGGGCTTCTGAAAAGGTGCTTGGAGTGGGTGCCAGGGGGGGGGTCTAACTACATTCTGAGAATGTGGGCCAGGAGCCCTAGGCACAAGACATGACAAGAGTTAGGCGCGTTGACTTTGGATGCAACCACACTTAGTGGTGTTTGGATTGTTGGAAGAGGAGGCGACTTTGGTTACAGAGGGGTCTTCATACGTCTTCATGTTTCGGGTTCCAATCTAAGCACCTATAAGCACCTACAAAATGTCCACTCGGCCAAACGCCCGGACACTTTTCCACACCGCACTTGAAGAAAAGATACCGCGACACTGAGTTCAACCACTCAGCCAAGCCACCGTAAGTGAAAAACCTTAAAAGCGTGTTCCTCCTCACCGGACTGCTCTCGCTCACGGGTCTTCGCCGCCGCAGAAGCCGAAGGCCGAAGCGCGAAGCCACGCGGCCTCAGGTGGATGGTCTACGAGAACTCAAAGACTGGAAGCCCAGAACTCACACGTTCCACCCGCGGGAGGAGGACTATCCGTGCGGTGCTTCTAAAGAACTAATATTAATCTATGCACGGTAGTGTTTGGTTTTTGTTTTCGATTTTTTGTAGTTTGAGGGCTCATTTCTTTGGTGTTACGGCTTTGAATGCTGCCTGTTTCGTGGAAGATTCTCCAAAGAATCGGTGTTGTGGGGGCTGGTGTAGGGTGGATGTCAAGTCCATTTGGACCTTGAAGGACGTGCCCTCCAAGAGGTAAGTGGGTTGCTCTCCGCTGCCTCACCTTGCAACCAAAAAGAACTCGATTGATACTTGATTTGATACTTGATTGGATACGTATTGGATTTGCTAGACATGTGAAGTACAATCAAAAATTAGTACGTGAGGCTGTTGCATCCTCAGATTTGTGAGTCCCCTATCATGTGTCCAATGTTTTAGAACCTTGTTAAGGAGTACTCCCCTATCCTCTCCGAAAAGCATTGGGGTGGAGGTCATCGCTATACTAGGTTGGAGGCCATTGCTAGTAGGTTCCCTAGAGTTTTCTTCTATAGGGTATGTTTTCTGTATGGCTGGAGGCCATCGCTATAAGGGTAGTTTCTTTTTGCTAAGAACATATAACCTTAACAAAAAGTTTTTTCCCCAAACAGTTTACTGTTGGGGTTCTATCTTAGGAAAAATAGAGCTGGCCACACTGACTAGCCGCGCCCCTGAACTCTGTGGCCGGGCTCTGTGACCGGGTCTTGTCCTCCTCTTGTCTTCTCTTGTCCTGCTCGTCTCTTGTCTTCTCTTGTGGCCGAACAATTAGCGATGTCGATGCCGACACAAATCATTGATTAAGCAATTTGCTCTGGGGGGGAAGGTAGGGCGTACCAAGAAATTGTGTTTGACTAATATTGGTCCCAATGAATCGTTTTGAAGCTGTTCGGGGTTTATGCTGGTATAATATTCTTTTCGACTGGAGGCCACGGCTTGGTCTGTTTACATGCGACGAGTTGGCTCGGCTCAACATCCACGCAGAGCTCAGGCAGGAGGTCTATATGGCCCAATGGATTTGGTCTGCTTTTCTATTTGCCCCAGAAATCTCTTGGGGGGGCTCCCTATTCTAATGGACCCCATATGGATGCGTATTTCATCGTGTTTGAATAGGAAGACCCCTGATCGCCCCTGGCTGGGTAGGGGAACAAAAAGCCCGTATATGTTACATACTCACATCATGTCGACACACATTTTTTGGGGGGCGGCCACTTTTGTTAGGTCCCAAGCCTTCTGATCTTTTTGGGGGGTTATGAATCATGATCAATCATGTATTCCACATTGTAGCTATGAATTTTCCAGCAAACTAGGAACCATATCCATTTCGCGGTTCCAACGTGCGCCACAAGCAAAGCACCTGGTTGTACCATACCGCGTAAATGATCCTCTTTGAAGTGCCAGACACGCTATTTCTCTTTTTGTTTGCACAGCAAGTGACCCCACTGGTCATTCACGGAGTATGTTGGACCTGGTGCCTACCTCAGGTCTGGCCTGATCGGTCAATAGCGGTAAATCGTGTCAATGAGTCATATAGAAGAAGACTTTGTGTCCGTCACTGGACTAGGAACCGGTCTTGTTGCGTTTGGAGCGTCGCACCGAACTCGGCTCCGAACTCGGAACTTTGGGCCGCACCGAGGTCGTTCCTTCTTCCGCACCCTCCGACCGGTGAGCAGGACGTCCGCTTGACTGACTGGTGAGCGGGACACTGACTGATGACGAGCGGCAGGTGGACCGCGCGGGAGGGAACATGGAGCGAATCATGTCATGCCAACGACTGTAACGACTGGAGCGATCGATATATCGAAGGCACATCTTCACACCATCTTCGATGGATCCTGCGGGCAGGACGGCAGGACTTTTCGACCACATGGCTGTGGGTGAAAACCAGGTGACCTTGGTTGAAAAACTACTATAGCATGGTGGACCAGGGCTCCAGGTTTTGCCCCATCCCCACATGACTGGTTGATTGCTCCTGCTGCTGTCGATGTGAAAGCAGCAGAATGAGCAAAGCGAGGGGAACTAAAACAGTCGGTTTCAGCTCTTAAGATGAATAACACAAGCGCATGAATGCTTTGGAGTGAGTTCCGAAGTCCTAAAGTCATTGACATTAAGACTATATAAGAATATATCGGCACTAGGTGTTACACAACACTTGCCATTCCGATCTACCTTGCTGCAGTTTCACACCAAAAGGTGTGTGTGTGTGTGTGTGTTGATTGCTCCCTTTTTGGACAGATCGAGTTCCGTCTCTCCCGGTGACGAGCCCGGTCTCTCGAGTTTTTCATCAGGACTTGACCAAGCAGAGTGCGGTTGGCCCAGTTGGCACAACGGGGCAACGGAAAGCGCGCCAACTCATCCGACCCGAACGAAAGGAAGGAGGTAACCCAGGTATGTATGGGAATTCTATGGGAATCTTGGGACGGTTGAAAAGCGCTGACTCAGTGGCTGACTGCGAAGAGGGAACTGAGGGAACCATACGGAACTTGTCTAGTTTTTTTGGGGTGGGGAACATGTGATGTGCTTCGTAGAGGAGAAGTGGTCACGTCCGCAACGTAGACTTTTGATTAATAACCACCCCCCCCAAGAAAAAAAAATATATATAGAGAGAGAGGAGGTTTTTTCAATTCAAATGGGGGGTCTACATCAGAGGATTCTGGACGAAGAAACTCATGCCATGAGGGAAGGGAGCCTAAAACAGACCCGACCTATTCCACCAACGTGACGGACTGCAGCAGAGGTCTCCCGCACGGGCGCACGGGCGGGACCGGTCAGCGGTTTGGGAAGAGGGAAGCGCTGGCGATTCCGTAGCTTCGGGTCAGTGGGGCACGCACTGAATTCATTCAAACACGTTCTACCCTTTGTCACACTTGCGTCGTACCAACAGTGGCAATGCCACCTTAAGGCGTTGCGGCGGCGGGGGCGGCCGTAGCGGCCTCCTGTGCACTGCGGCGGCAGTTGGAGTTGACGTTGGGACCTGTTTGTGGTGAGGTCGAGGGCGACGTTGCCTACTTCAAAGCTGTGGGGTGGCAGAAACACACTGGAACCGCCGTTCGTTTAGCACTTCAAATGCCGTATTGGTTCGTATTGGAACGGCGAAGGGTTTTTTGTTAATGATCCTCGGGATATGTAATTCTGAAACTACCTGGAAATCCTACCTCTTCAGTACTTTTCCTATAGTGGAGTCGGATTGAAGCTATTTAAGATGCTATTTCAATTACACTCCCCTGAAAGTGGAAAATCGTAGCCTCTTGGGAGACCGTTGTCCTCTACAAACAGGTGATGTTCAAGAATTCCGTCTTTGTGAGTTTCAGGCAAAGTGCCTTTCGACAACCCTCGTTCCGCGAAGGGCCTTCATAAATCTCTCCTTCGCTGTTCTCTGGTGGATTTTCTGAATCTTCCTGAAAAGACACCTGAGGCTTCAGCTTTTGGAAGGACTCAGGTGTTTGGATCCATCTGAAGCTTTCACTGAAGTAGTGGGAGGCAAGACTTGGGGTGAATATGGTAATTTTGTTTGGATTGCCAACATGACTTTATTCGAGGACGCGGAGGAGAAGGAGAAGTGCTCCGATAAAATCTAACAACCCTCACCTGGCAGTGCTGGCAGGTGGGGAAAACGCGGTCTGGGGCTCGGCTTCAGTTGAGCGTCGATCAGTCGATCATTTGCGCGCTTCCAAGGTTCCGCAGTTCCCGGTCCTTTCATTGCTGGTGCTTTTCATTGTTTGCCTTCGTCGTTTGTGTGAGGAGCGCCCTTTCACACACCACATGTGTGTGGCTCTTGGGGGCTCCGGTTGAGCTCGTGGGAAGGGTCATTTCATTTCACTCCAGTGAGGAGTTAAGAAACAGTAAGTGTATGTAAGTGTGGTTTCTTTCATTGCATTCCCTGATGCAAACATGGAAAGGACCATTTTCCATGTCCATGATAGATTGTTTCACGGAGCTTATATTTCATTGGAAAACGCACAGCCGTTGGTTAACCGTTTGCTTTTCAAGCTGGGCATGTGTTCCGGCCATGCTCCTCGTTGTTGTTCACTATAATACCGATGAAGCGGCGAGAAGGGACGAGCTGGCCGCTTGCGAGACAACCTGAAGCAAAACATGCAAAGCTTCCTTCTAGCAAGTAAAATAGATGCTGAAGATGCTGTGAGATGATAACTGAAGTTGGGCTGCATTCCAAAATGATTGTAAAATGTTGCCTCCACGCTGGCTCCTGCTGTGATTATCGTCGCTTCGCAAATTATTTACCACTCTTAGACCGAAAAACTAAGTGAACATTTTTGAGCACTGCTGCTGCGATCTTGATGATCGTGCATTGTTCATTTCGGAGGTTGTCAGACTGCCCGCAGGCTAGGTCTTGTACGGCAATGTTGCCACTTCATGTATTTTGTACCTTTCCAGACGCACGATTAGCAGCATGGCTGTAACATGGGAGGCACACGTGGCACACGTGGTGTAGGAAGGTTCTGCGGCGCTTGCAATTTTGCACCCAGATTACGCGGGTGGGAAGTGGCTTGGTCAATGTGAGCTGGCCTTTGTGACTGTTTTAAGTGTTGTCACCCTCCACACGGCCCTGGAATCAGTTGCACTTATTGCCTGGCCAAAGAGACGCCCCAGGCAAGCACGTTCATCCTAAATCCGCTGGACGTGGTGAAGAGCCAGATTCAGGCAAGCAGCCAAACAGCATAAATTGTCACGTCGAAGGACCAAGTGGCACCATAAGCGATGTGGGAATGCTTTCAACGGCAACAATTTGCGCAAAACATGTTTATCGTTGTTTGTAGGCTTCCACTTATAGGTGCCTTAGGCGCAACAAGTTGTTGTTTGTTTATGCGTGGCATAGGTGCCCATTGTGAAACCACTTTGTTTGTTGACCATGTATGAATGACAGTAGGAATTTCACTGCCTATGCCCCATTTGCATGGGCGTCGTGTTGTTGCGCTGCCCACCAAAATTTAAGCCACTGCATTGATGTGAACAAAGACCCTGTTTTCGGGCCTGGTTCAAAGCCTTCATGAACCCGATCCAGCGTGCCAGGCATCTTCCGGAAAGGCAGGGACAGGGGAGGATGTGCCGTGGCTGTGGATTTTTCAAGGTCTCTGGAACATGTACACGGTGTTTGGCGCATAGTTGACACTTACACCAAACGGGGTCTCATAGTCAAATTTGGATGAAAACCATAAAAATGGGACAGCTGCAGGCAAATGTGTGTCAGCTTTGGGCCCGTGTACTGGTTTGGACACACTTGAGTCTGGTTTGGAGACTAATTGTCCCCACATCAGGTGAAAAAAACTGTGTTGAAGATGAACGAGTGATGTTCAGATGGATAAACTCGTTGTTTTCAGGGAGTAGAATAACAATGTTATTCAACAATCTGAACCATTGTTCCTAGCTCGAAGCGACTCTCGACAATGATAGTTGGCGACGATGAAGCTTCCTTGGAAGTGATATCCTTCAAGATGCATCAGATGATGTGGATCCAGCGGATAGAAGGACACATGTTCAATCCAATGAAGCACTTGATCGGTCTGGCAATTGAGTTCTTGCAGAGATTGATCGAATGGAGAGATGGTGTCGGACAGATTGGACTTCATAGAGCATTGGGTGCACTCTTGATGGTTGTTTGGTCAGGAAACTACTACAGCGCCAAGAACATAAATCCAGCTGGATTTCTATCATCTGTGGCATTTGTTGCTTTGCGCATTCGAGAGGATTGTCTCCCCAACGGGCCCAGATGTTTGCAGCAGCAGTATTGGATAGAATAATGACGCTCCCAACTTAACTAGGAATTTCAACCTGAAGTTGAACAGTTGAAATTGGAGTGGCAATCTTATCGACGTACTGTGTCACCTTCACTGTTTGGACCTGTGGCTGGATCAACCCCAGAGAGAGGCAACCTTCCTGTCCCCGTGGATCATTGGACGGTGAAGAACATCAAGCGGAACAAGAAATTGCCATTGGTTCAATCTGCTATACAGAGATGCACCCCATTGAAGCAGCTTGTGTCCTGGAAGCTGTGGCTCAATGCCGGATGTCAATTCCTTGCTGCTTGACTTCGGCTTGAGTCGCTTCGAAGCTGCCGCATCACGGGCGCAGTGATGCGGCAGATGAAGCGTGAGCCTTTGGTTTGGGAGGCATTTGTTGAAGAGTTTCATGACTGTTTTCTGAGTTCTGGGCTGAGAAGGAGTGCAACAGGAAGCTGGCAGGTCCCATTGCTGCTTTGCGGAGCCTACCTGCGGCCTTGCTTGTTTGACTGACGGGAGCTGCTCGCACGGACAAACCGCTTGGTGTTTTGCAGTTTCGACCACCTTCACTCTGCCAGCGGACGGCCCAGTCCTTCGGTCCTGCCCTGCCCCAGCTCCGCCCTGCCCCTGCCCCAGCTGCCCCAATCTTGCAGAAATCCAAGCGGTCATTGAAGCTTTGGATTGGCTTCTCTCTTATCACGCTGACATCTCGTCTCATATTTTCCTTTTCACCGATTCTGACTACGTTCTAGGCTTTTGGAAGGTAGAAACCATCCCTCCCAAAATCTTCACCTCCAGTATTGGCATGCCGCCGCCTCTCTTTTCCTCATCACGGCTCGCAGGGTTCCTGCCCACACCGGCGTTCCAGGCAATGAACTATAGCTGATGCCCTCACCTTGCGAGGTAGGATGCGATTGGGGAACGTCGGCCGTTTTTCCACCTCCAACCCAGATTCGACCCGTTGATTGAGCCCGGAATAGTTGACTCTGATCGCTGGACCCTCCTCCCTCTTGACCGACAACATTCCATCCTTGCATCGGTCCTCAGCGAGGCAGCGCGTCACAGTTTTGCATTCAAACCTCCAGCGAAAAAAACTTACCTCTCCGCCACTACTTTTGCTATGATCCGCGACCTTCACTCCCTTACCTCTCCGGATTCACACGCCGTATCAGAACAGCTGCGCGCAAGGACAAACTTCACTGGCTGTGCGCCCGGTTCATCGAAGAACCACCGTAGCCCTCCCGCACCTGTGGCGCGCCGCTCCCAATCCGTCCGTACTCCTTTCAGGCCCAGCCCGGCCAATGTGGTGGAGATCCGAGGCATCTTGCAACCTCGTCACCAGAGCGTCCGCTGTCCTTGGCCGAAGTTCTAGCCCAAGACATGTGGGCTTCACGCACCGCTGCCGCCGTTGGGGCGCCCCCTACGCTACTGAAATGGTTAGATGTTCATCTCCTTTCTTTCTTTCTTTCGTTCTTTCGTTCTTTCTTTCTTTCTCTCTCTCTCTCTCCACTTATCCAATGTTATTTGGGGGCCTCAGTGCCCACTACGTGGAAACACTCCATGTTGTTATGCTTATCAAAAATTCACTGAAATCTTCCACCGCCCTTTCGAACAACCGACCCATCTCCCACGACAAAGTCTATGCACGTATGCTACGGAATCGTCTCCTTCCATTTGTCGAGCCGTGGCTTCGTTCCACCCAATTTGGCTTCCGAGCTGGCCGGTCGACCTCCCAGCCTATTCACATTGTGAGACAGCTCACGCAGGCCTAGGAGAGACACACCTTGCCTATCCATGTTGCTTTCCTGGATTCCATCTCCCATGATGCTTTGGCCCACTCTCTCCATTTCCATCAAGTCCCCGAAGACCTCATTCAGGCCACTCTCTCTCTCTCTCTCTACGCTAACCCTATCAAGTTGTGGATTGGGGATACGAATCCGAGACTAAAGTTCAATGTCGTGGGCTCCGTCAGGGCTGCCCTTATCCACCTACCTCTTTATTCTTACCACCATGTTTCAATATGTTGAACTTGAACACCAAGACAGATTCGGCCTTATCCCTGGGGTTCTTCCATCCACCGGCCTGTGGTATCTCCAGTTTGCAGATGATACTGTTTTACTGGCAAACTCAGCATCCTTGGCCAATCGTCTCCTTCACGGCGTCCAGCGAAATGGTCACTCCTTTGGCTTATCGCTCAACACGGCGAAATGTGAGCACCTAGCCCTAAATAGTCAAAAACACATCTACTTTCATACGGGAAACCCTACCGCTCTGCCTGCCAACATTGCGGAGGCGAGGGGCTGGGCGACCCGATGCCACCAGTAGACTCTGCTACATACCTTGGAGCGCCGATCGACTCGTCTGGTTCCTCGGCAAATTGCATCTTGTCCCGCCTCCGCAAGGCAAATGCCGCGGCCATCCTGTTAGCCCCTTTCTTCCGGATTCCGCACAGCCAATATCCCGGCTCGTTTCCGTCTTCAGGTCTACCAATCAGTAGTGCAAACCATACTCTTGTGTTCAATAGAATCGCAGACTCGGAGATTCCCTCCATCAAAGCCCCTATTTTCATCGGATACTTCACCCGTCCGCCATTCCATGTTCTCGCCAACTCTGAAGGCCCCTGCATCTAGGGCCCCTCCCAGCTTGCTTCACAGAGACTCCTCAACCTCTTAGGGCATCTCCTACGCCATGAATACAGCCTTGAATACCTAGCTTCCTTCATGCCTTCCCACAACTACCGCATTTTGTGGGGAGACATTTTCCGCCGAGGCCAACCTCATCCTCATTGGGCCGAACTCACCCTCTCAGAAGCTTATTGCCGACGCCTCCACCTTTCCCATTCTCCCTCTCCCCCTCTTGCGGGAAGTCAACCACCCTTTTTTTCAACCGCCCACGGCCACTGAAATCTGCGAACTTAGTCCACCCACTAGAGAGATATACACCTCTATCGCCCCCTCCGTACCGTTGCCAATCACCGAAAAAGCTGGCAGCTCCTGTCCAGTACACTTCTGCGGCATCCGCCTTCCGGTGGCTACTACTGCCCATTAGTACACAACATGCGCTTTCAGCTTTCAAATTTCCAAATTTAATTTACTTATTTAATTCTCATTTGACGTTTTCCTAAACCGTTGCTTCCACCACTGGATATCGGCATCCGCGCCGAGGCTGACAGGGAAGTTTTTTGAAGCATCCCTACCGCTTTGGAAAAACATGTCAACCATGTCTAGGGCGGACCTTTTCAAGGGAATGGATGATACAGATGATCAGCAAAGGCACAGATCAGTTTCACGTCGCGCAGTTGGGCCGGCCAGGTGGTGTTCCCATGATTGCCTTGGCATGGTTGGGTGGATGGCATGCTCCACCAGTCTACTTGTACCTGCGACCGCTTCGACCCCGAGACGGGCTCAAATATGAAGTCTGTTTGGACCACCCCCCAAGTCACAACCACCACTTGAGATTAGAACCAAGAGATGTGTTCTTTTTCAGGAGGTACACTTACTGATCAATTTATGTAATATATCATATATCATATATATATATATAACATATTTGTTGAAAGATTTTGAAAGCAAGGGGGTGCATATTAGAGTAATATTTTGGTATATTTGGGGTGTTTCTCCAGCTGCTCATTAAGCTGCCTGCTGGCAGGCGCAAGCCACTCAAGCACAAGCTGCGCACTTCCGCCAGTCTCCTGCTTGGCAGTTCTGAGCACTTATGTGGAGGTGTTAGCTGGGTTGGGTCGGGTATTGTGACTACCAGAATCTACCAGGTGGAGTGTTTTACTCACCAGCTGTTTAGCCATTCGTGCAAGGATCCAATCACCAAGTCCCTTTGGGATTGTATACAAAAATATAGGGAGACCTCGCCGGGGCCCGACTGGTTGGTTTTACCGAACCGAATCCCGGGGTCATTGCCGCGCCATGCCACGCCACACCTGGAGGTCTCCCTGGGTTCCTGGAGACCCCAAGATGCTTTCTGAAAAAAACATCATCCGCGCTGAGAACAATCCAAGTTCACGCACCCTAAAAGACACGTTTCCTTTTTTTGGTGCACGTCCTGAGGCCTGTGAAGGCCTTATTCCTCCGAGGCCTCGTGCCCAGGCAGCAGAGCGAGGATGGCGCGCAGAGCGAGCTATCAGACCCTCTTTGTATGATTGAAGAATCATGGAAGCTGAACAGACAGGGGAACTGTTATGTTCCGGTTTTTGCAGGTCCCATGATGGTTCCAAAGAGGAGGATCTCCTGAACCTTGTTTGCGACGGATCTTAGCCGGTGCGGTTCCGTTCCGTTCGGAGTTCGCCATGTTTGTTGACGGGATGTCTTGGGATGTCTTGGAGAGGAGAAGCATGGAGAAGCCACACTTTTAGTCACCAAAACTGTATGGATCCATAGTGTGATGTGCGAATCTTTGTTGTGCCTAGATGATTGAACGGGAAGACGAAAAACAAATTTTTGGCCATGTCTATAGAGTTCAGATATGTTCAGATTAATGATTTGCCCTGTTTTTAGATCGATGTGTTTAGCAGAACGATGAATTGCAAACCCATGCCTTTCATGCCCAGAGGGAAACGAACTAATTATCTGGCCGTGGCCTCCGTTTTTGGGGGCAACCGCCACCCGCTCCACGCCGAAGGCTCCTGCTCTCTGCCATCTCCGGGATCTCAGAGTCCATGAGCTACGAGGCACCGAGCTATCCAGCGACCCCCCACCACCCGGAGGTGTCTGATGCCGGAGGTGTTTGTAGACCCCGGGTGTCGTGGTGAAATGCGAGACGTGAGGCGTGAGGCGTGTGTGCGGTGTTGATGGGAAGTTCGCCGATGATGAGCCGTTGGTTCGCCCGGAGCGTGCCTCCCAAAAGATGAGGCAAAGCCTGAACATGCCGGCAACTGAACTGCAACCGTGTTTGCGCCCTTGTATCATGGTTCAAAGTCCGGGGAAGTGGGATGGATTCATCAATTTGTAGGGATCCAAGTACCTTCTCAGGTACGGTGATGTGTTCGACACTGTTATGTAGGTGCCAGGAGGGTCGGAGGTCCAGTCGTACCTTCTGAGAAGGTACTTGCTTGGATCCCTAGGAAATGGCCAGAATGCAGCTTCCCATTGTTGCTGGGCGCCGACGTAGTTGGGACATGTTGGGACACATGTCAAACAGGTTGCTGTGGGGGCGCTGTGAGACCGATTGGATTGCTCTTGCTTCCGGCTGGATTCGATGAACATCTGGATGTGATGATGTGCTCCTCCCGGCGGGTGCCACCTCACAGATCGAGACAGTGGTCCATCGTCGTGTGGATGTGGAGGATGTGCTGGGAACATCCCACGAAACCTGGCAGTTCTGGAAGAAGAAGTCCCTTGACCTCCCAGCCGCGGGCCGCTGGGACTTAAAAATGGACTTTTAAAGGATGATCCGCTGGTCCTTCTCTTGGACTCACTCTTCCACTGTCGTATCCCTCCAGCTCGTGTCCCGGGTGGTACCGGTGACCTACCTCCGCCGGGTGCTACCGGTCATCGTTCCAGGGAGCCGAATGTAGCCCCTGTGACCTTCGTAGCTTCTAGTTAATTATGTAAGTAGTGGCCTCCAACCTACTAGCGATGGGCTCCAACCTAGCAGCTTCTAGCTACTAGGTAGTAGTGCCCTGGTTACGTTCGGTTTCGATGCACTTGTTACGTTCGTGTGTCCATGTTCGACAAGAAGTCGGTGGCCAGTCTTCGCCTGCCAGTCTTCCTCGTCTTGGAAGTTCACTGGAGTCCATACCGGTTCATGGGGACATACTGTTCACTGCTGGAGCCGCCGTGGTTTGGCGGTTTCTTGTGAGATGATCTCCCAGACTCTCCAGGTACTGATGTATGCAAATATGGCCTACATGACTGGTGGTTTTGGGGGGGGGGGGGTGAATGCAGGCCACTAGTTTTGCAGACCACCACAGAGCACATAGAGCGTTGGAAAAAAACCTGGGCCTGGGATCGTTTCTTTTTGTCTCGTTCGTCGATTAGCATCTACTTTTTGGGGCGGGGTTCTTCGATCCTATTCGTCTAGCTTGCTAACCTCATGCCTTCTCAAAATTATCCATCTGCACTGGTTGTGTACTTTTTCTTTTTTGGGGCCTTATGTTGGCCCTCTGGCCTTCAAATTTATCCACCGGTTTTGGCTAAAAACCCGTCAGTCCCTGGAAATTATCCGGTACTGACCCCAGACGCCAGTACAACGGGGTATCATAATAATTGTACATGGCAGACATGGCCTTTTGACTGGTTGGTTGGTTAATAGAGGGGATACCCCCAAGCGTACAACCAATATATGGGTAGTATATGGTAATATGGTACCTGGCACCGACCCCTCTATTCTTCCCAAGTCGGACCATCCTTGTAATATCATGGAGCCCCCAAAAGCCGTTCCGCAGACCTGAATGGGTCGGATCCGATCCGAGCCCTTTGACCCGGTGATTCCAGCTGAAAGATCACCGGACCACTCCTCCGGACCACTCCCCGGTCGCCCAGCCTTCAGTGCCGCACCCACAAACCCGACCGATGGACCGACCGAAAAAAGCTCGGTGGACCGACCTGGTCGGGCCTGCAGGTGTTGGAAGGACCCATTCAGGGTTCGCACCTTGAAGATAGGACTCCGTTCAGATGCTGAAAGCTGAACGGACTCGCGACAGGTCCTGATTTTGCGAGGAAGGACGTCATCTCCAGCCTGCGGCTAGTACCCCCTGCAGTTGGTGTCGGGATCTGAAACAGAAGTTGTCCTTCTTGAGCGCTGAGCAATTCTTGACTTTGGCTGCACGCGTTGCGCTTTGAAAGCAGGTCATTTGACTGTAGCAGTGAATGTAGCAGGTGATTCACGGCTTCAACACAAAAACTGCAGTGTTTGCACATACTGAATACGTATATATACGTATACCTGGACCCTGAAACGATGTCTTTTTTTCCGTCTCGCCAGAAAACATGACGCAAAAACATGCAGCAAATTCGCGATAGAAAACATGACGCCAAAATGACGCAGAAGTGACAAAAAACAACGCAGAAGTGACAAAAATCGACACCAAAACTGTTTGTTGTGTGTTTTTTTTGAGCTTCGCCTGAAAATTGCCCTCACCAGAAAAAAATACGTCTTTTGCGGGGTCTAGGTATATGATATGACATATGACAATATATGTATACTCATACTCGGATTGATTAATAAGCCCCCACCGTCCATCTTCATGGGGATGGGTGCCAGCAACGCCAGGTCGTTCGCTCTCGACCGGTCCACCTGGTGTCGACCGGTCTCATCTCCCGTTCCCACGGCGAATCGAAAGATGACTCGGGCCGAAGTGGGAGGGGGAGAGGTGAACGAGTTCAGCATGGGTTAGGCAGCTCTGTGTTTTTTTTTCTGGTTAAGAGGAGATCCTCTACCGACGTGGCGCAGCAAGCCAAGAAGTGCTTCTTCGCCAGCACCACTATAATATGGGATCCACATAACTTCTCAGGGGCCTACATAAACAGTCTCCAATCACCTTCTGAGAAGGTACGACTGGATCCCTGGGGCATTATGTTGATGATCTTTGCTTACGATGGCGTGGTAGATGTTTGTCTCGCATCGATGTAGGGGGAATTGGCGTCGCCGGAGCCACTGAGCCACTTTTAGCCGCGGAGCTCGTTCGATTGCGCAGCGGCTACACGGCCGATGGAGGCCATTATGCACCTGGCAAAGCCCGGGACCTTTGCAGAAGTTCGATGAGGCGGAAGGTGCGGGCACCTAAAGGGTCTTCGGGTGCATGTATAGAATCTGGACATATTTGAATTTGGAACGACTACTTCAGAATTCATTATATATAGCTGCTTAATTCATGTGCTTTACAGTTTTTACATTTTTCCACCAGAGTCTGTGAACGTGTCATGATGAGTTATTCAACCTTCGCATGGCCTGGCCACTTTTGGTTGGAGTGGCATCGCTATTACACCCCAAAAAACGACCAGTCTACGAGTGCTGCCTTGGGTCGGTCATGACACTGGTCGGAGACCGACCGGTTGACCTTCCTGATGTCGGTCGAACTCGCTTCATTTGGTGGACCAGTCCCTCTATAGTATTCAAGTAAGGACTTCATCGATCCGATCCTTTTGGGATGGCAAGGAAGCAAGCATGAGCCTGAGCCGGGCTAGTGTGGGAACATGACCCCGTTGAAAAGCCTTTCTTCCCTAAGAATCCGAATGGGCCCTCCATGGGGGTCGGGCTCTCCATAGCAGGGTCCGGGCTCTCAAAACCCCAATTTGTTAATTGTTTTTCATCTGTGCCAATGAGATTCGACCAGAATGTCACTCAGCCAGCGTCTGGCTAGGGCTGCTGAGGAAGCAAATCGAGGAAGCAAGGTAAAAGCCACTGCCCCAAACCCACAATGACCAGAATTGATGTGATTGACTTCGATGTCTTCATTGCGTTCCCCCCCCTCGAATCCTTGGGTGATGAGATACGGTAAACAAGGTATACCTCCCTCGGTTTGCCAGGTGGGAAGCGTCAGCGGAACGCAGGAAAAAGGAGCCGAGAATGGCCCCCGGCGCGCCTTGGGAAGGGGAACACCAGGTCTCAGCGGTGTGACCTGACCTGATTTACTACCGAACATAAACAGAACAGACGACCAGGGCATACCAGGGCTCCATGTTGGTTAACTCGCAGTCATCTCAGGATCTCAAAGAGACTCTTTTGAGGGGTGGATTTCTTCTTCCCACCTTTTCTCGGTCTCCATCCTCGCGAAGCGAAGCGAGGCCGCGAGGTCTCCACCAAGTCCTGTGGTTCCTCTTTTGGCTGTGGAGCGACAAAGTCCAGCTTCGGTGGGTTTTGGGTTCAGGGTTTCCTGGTGATCATCATACTACTCATGTCCGACCAGCAAGGCTTCTGGACGTCGTGGTTATTGGGTGCATGATGGGTGGCATTCTGTGTGTGAGTGAATCTCAATTTCTGGTGTTCGGTTCTAATCTCATCTCATCTTCTATGCGCTGATAGACATCAAATACCCAATGCAGATGTTCAACCTAGGGATCAGCCATGCCAAAGCGTTCATCGTTTTCCCCATGTCTCCAACACATTCCAACACATACGTGTAGCCGAAACCAACGTATGACTCCAGCAAACTGATTCTGGAGGTCACCAGCTGTGCTGGAGGTCACCCAGCTGCTGGGTGTTGTCTTTTTGATCGCTTACTTTGAGTACCCCACCGCAGGTCTGCGGGACGCGCGCTCACCTCCACCTTCGACCTTTGAGGCCGAGTGGAAGGGGGGAGAGGTTTGGGTGAGGCGTAGATCCAGGCACTCGATGTCCCACGACCAGCCGTCTTACGCATGGCTTTTGAGATGTCGGCCTGCAACTGAAGCATCATCATCTGGGCCCTGGTGGAACATGAATGCTACAATTGAGCAGCGACAAACACCTCCATCTAAAGCTTTTATCAAGAGGGCTGGCGGAAGTGAAAACTTGCACTGCGTAAGCATTGCGGAAGACTCTGCGTAAGTGTATGTCTTTTTACACAATGCGGAAGCTCTGCGGAAGCAAGGTTTTGAGGATGCCAAGTACTGCTGCATGTCATGTGAGCTGTGTCCTCTATTTTAAGAGCCTCACGGCCAACCCCAGCCACCGAAACGAAGCGCGAACACCTCAAGCAACTAGCAAAGTACAGTCCTCAGGCTTTCATACAGAGGTTTACAGCACGAATTCCGCGGAAGCCTACGCGGAAGCTTCGCGTAAGACGAAAACGCTTTTGAAGGTAGTTGACCACGCCCCCACTCCATCAAAGCAAATAACAGCAGTTCGACTTCGTCCACCTCGTCATTCTTTGCTTCATCTTCAAGCTCTACTTCATCAGAGAACTGACCCCCCACGCAGAGAAAGGAAAAAGGCATGTGAATCAACTTGTTTCAAAATAGACCTCCGACGCGCAAGGTTCGCGTTAGCGTTAGCGAAAGCACTCCAAACTAACACCGCGTAAATGAAAACGCAGCGCGCGTAAGTGTTGCGGAACAATAAAGGATTACAAGGCCAAGACATAAGGGTTTTCGACGCCGCTCAATTGACCCCATTTCAACCACTCCAACTGATCGGTAAATATGTTACATGGAGTGTTTGGGAGGGGTTGACCAGCAGCACTCGACTTGACAGGTCATCCCATGCAAAGTGCTCAAAAAATACCTTACACCCCGAAAGGGACCCACCACCCCGAAAGGAACCCGCATGGAATCCCATCCCAACCGGGCTGATGGCATGGACCAGACTGGAAGACGATGTTCCTTTGCGACCTCACCGTGGTTTTCAGGTTCCATGTCAGTTTGTTCCAGGGTGGAAGCTCTAGGAAAGGGCGGGACCGAACAAAGTCCCAGGAAGGATGGATTTGTAGGTGGGGCCCAATCTCCTTGAGATCCCGGCACCCCAAAACAGAATCAGAAACCTATATTGGTTGTAAGGCTCTCTCTCCTTTAGAAGGCTCTCTAGGCGACAAACTGCCGACGTCCCTTTGCCGACGTCCACGTCGCACCAGGACCACCGACATAAGTGACAGGTGGTGCAGCAGTTTTTTTGGAGCGAGAGGCTTCGGGGCTGATCGATCATCACAGATGTATTGTTGATGGTTTTTGACCATTGACTATAGGATGCGTTCTGTTCATGCTCCCCTCAACAAGAAATGACAGATTTAATCATATATGACAGATTTCATCATATGTTATCATCCGTAGACTTGTAGAAGTTTGCCATGTAAACCATGTGCATGGGTAAAATGGTTTGACAATGCAAAGGCAAGAGCTTGGATCCTTGTGGAAAATGCAAAGGCAAAAAGGAGGCCAGCCACCTGAGCGGCCCAGGGACCATTGTAAGACCCGACCCTCAACCTGGTAAGATTCACAATACTCCCGCAACCTGTCATGTTCACATCACGGTTGTGGGAGTATGATTCATCCTACATGACTCTTCCCTCTATCTATCCGACTCCTTCTCGCCGAGCACGAGCGCCCCGACGCCTCTTGGAGTCGCCCGGCTACGGCGGGCCGAGCGGCGGGCTGCGGCGGACTGCGGCGGACTGCGGCGGAGCCGAGCCGAGCCAATTCGTGACGAAACATGGGCAGCCGCGATGGATTGAAGCTTCGCACGGAACATTTGGGGCATCGCTACCAGTTCGTAGCTCCTGGCATTACTAGCTACTACAAAGTAACAAGAAGCTGCGACCTTCTCTATATGAATGGATGGATGTCTCCGAGTTCGGCTCAGAGTCTGGACTGACCCCCGTTGGCCTTGGGTTTGGACCCTCACAACTATAGGGTTTTCGGGCCGAAGAAACACATGTAGCAGTTGGTTCGGGTCCAGGGTCGCCTCTGGGCTATAAGTGTACTGGGGTGTGACGAACTAGTTGGGAATGCCATGGAATCCGATCATATGGCCCAACTGGCTATGCGCCACATGGTCTTCGACTGCACAGGTGAAGGTGGGGAGGAACCTAGGCCCTCTGAAATCGTCGCAGTTTTCGGGCTCCTGTTCCTTGTACAGATTCTCCGAGCCATGTTTGATGGTTGAATATGGAGCTTGCAAATAGAGAACATTAGACGACTCGGTTGTGTGTAACCTTCCAAACTGGTCCAGGAAGTGGCATGTCAGAAATCACACGAGCACAAGATGGGTGCTACCATGCTTTTGCCAAATTCCAATTGTTTCCAGAAACACTCCTTATATTGTTTCAGACGTCATGGGAAAGAGTCATCCCTGCTGCACGACTCTGGCTGATGAAGCTGCCATGTTTGTTGAATTCATGCACCTCTTCAATGCAGGGCATGGCTGCCATGCAGGTCGTCAACCCAGAAATTGAGAAATCAAACCTCCTTCAGCTCCACCATTCAGAAAGGGATGACACGGATCATTTGAAAAAACAATGGTTCTTGTATGATCATAGAATCATGTAAACTCAATGGTGCTTGGAATCCTGGGCTTGCTACTTCTGGTATTCATGATGCGAAACAATAGAAGGCCGAACGTACACCCTTTTGTACGCCGCACAACAACTGCTTCCTTCGTTCCCTCTGAAGCCCACTGTACAACACGTCTCATCACAGAGTCCAGCACCTGTCGTCCTGGATCTCTGATCAGAGATATTGCCAATGAATTGGGTACTTCATATACAGGCTTTCATGGGCCGGATCTCTGGTGATCACTTCTATATCAAAAGCTTGATATAATGTATAATATATAGATATAGAGAAATAATAAGCATTCATTTCAAAAGCTTTCCTCTGGATCTCTGGGAAAGCACATCTGTCTAGATATGAAATCCAACTCAGAAGCCAGGAGCTGCCCCGTATGAAGTACAGCTGATGAGCTCAGCCTGAAATCAACATGGCGAACTGCCACACGTACGAGCACCAACGAATCAAGGACCATGAAGAAAGGCACGACACAGTCGATCTAAACGTTGTCCTGATGAACACGGTGCCACACGGTTTGCCATGCGGCTCAGTAGACGAGTCACCCCACCATGTCAGTGGCAGCAACGCTCCGATTGTAAAGCCTCTTACTAAAATTTACTAAGATTCTACGTGATAGATCGTGATAGGCTAACTGGAAGAAACAGGCCTGTTTGCAGCATTTTGTAGCCCGTGATTCATCATCTCGAGAGTGTTGTAAGGACGATGGTGATTTGAGTCAAGCCTCCATCTCCACCGTTCAGCCGTGGAAGGAATGATCATCCGCCAGTTCGGAGTTGCTTCTTCAGACTCTCCCAGGCCCCAGGCGCTTGAGGTGCCAGCATTCTAGTATGTTTGGAGCGCGTGCTTTAAACTGGGGGAGTATCTCAAAAACCCTGGGTTCGATTCGGGAAATCGACCAGTGAACCGTTTTTCAGGGGGCCTCCCTATCACACCCCTGCCAAAAGATCGCGGAACAGTTTTCCGCCCGCGAGGTCAGACCACGTGCGTCGCACCTACTGAATCACGTGCAGAAAGAATTTCTTCACGCCACTGTAGACTGTGAACATTTGGGAAACGTTTTAGTGGATTCGGATTTCGATGTCTGCCATGTATGCCAACGCAACTTTGGAAGATTGGAAGATTCAGACCGACGATCTGAGATGACGGCCTGCCCCTAGTTTTTTGGAGCTCACCCGTGTGCTGAAGAGAAGGACGGCGCAATTGTCTGTCACGAAAGGCGGCGGGTCACGTGGTGGTCGTTTTGGGGAGGACCTAGAGAGTTTTTTCACAATCCCAGCCTATCCATGCCTATCCCATATTGTATACCCAGTTCAGGTTTCTTGACCTCTCTTGGGAGTGCAGGACTTGTGGTTGTGCCTAGTTATAGCTCATGGAAGTGACCATCACTCACCGAACGCCCTTGGTCCCTGGTCCTTGCAGTTCATTTGTTTCACATGGATCCAACGTCAAAAGCTCACCGTTGGCACTGTGAATACTGAGGTGAAACCAACTTAGCGGGTGGATGTATAACTGGTGATGCCCGATGTATGGCCTCGGGATCTCCAATCTGTTACTGATTTTGTCTTGGGTGCTGTACCCTAGGGCTCCAACTACCTCCAAATGTGAACTCCGTGGTTGTGAGTGCGAATGGGGGTGTCTCTAGTCCCTACCTTCTAGGAGATGATTCGAGCGTCTTCGAGCGCTTGGGGTTAAAATCGATTTCTCCCTATAGATTGCTACTCGCAGTGTTCGTTCACAGGGGGAAGAAGTCTCAACCTGCAGATTTTCTGCCAGTCTCGGCTTGTAGGAGGGAAACATTGATCGATGCAGGTCCTGTTTCTGGAGGACATGGGGCCCAAGTGATATATTTAAGTATATTTAATTACTTAATACATGTTAATTTTGTTTACAATGACAACTTTTGTTGCCCACGTGTGTTTGAGTGAGAGCGTGTCTTGTAGAAAAACCTTTTCTTGCCGGGGCTCGATGATTGGAACCAAGTGGATTCAGGTGGACGAATCTTTGGATATATGTCATGCTACTTCACAAGCAAGAGGCCGCAAGGCTTTTCCATCAGCTTCTTTTTTCTGTTCATGGTTTACAGTTACACAGATACACAGACTCCACTCTTGGTCGTTCAGAAGATTTGCCCAATCTGCTGCTGTTTTGGTTTCAGGCCGCAGCGGTTGTTGAGGTATCTCCTAGAGCTGGGGCAGACAACACATGCATATTTGAGGAAAGAACCTATGGGTCCGGGCTTGGAATCCCGTGCCGGGAATACTTGGATCAAATCGCTGATGTGTGTTTGGAGTACATGTGAAACATCCCGACATCCCCACACATCCTTCTCACCTGAACCGACCAAAACCATCCACGGCATCACAGCCTGTTGGGGCAGGGAGACTTCCACTCGCCGCTTGGCCAAGCTTCACCAGACCATACTCGCCATTGCTCAACCTTCCTTCGGCATGACCGGAGCAGGGTCAAGACACCCAACCTTGGGGGGGTGAACATGGGTGAACATGGGTGAACACATCGATTTAACAGGATTTTACACCCTCCCCACGTGTCACCTGTCATATCCTGTCCTCCTCACAGCTTCACTCAGACCACCTCCGACCACCTTCCACCTCCCCACACTCCACCGTTCGTCGGCCTTCCTGATCCAGGCGGGTGGGCGGGGTGGGCGGGTTCCAAGCGAAGGTCAAGTCAGGTTCGGTCTTGGCGGGTGTTTCGAGGTGTTTTCTGTTCACAGCCCCAGGCTTATCTATAGGCTTATCTAGGCCCACCGTTGATTTGTATGGACCGGACCGAAGAAGTTTTGCGTACTGGCCACTTTACGCTAAGAAACCGGGTCAGCTGGTGTTTTTGTCATTGACGTATACTAGCCGCATCTAGCCGCTGTGAGCGAAAGACGTCATCAGCTGTCCCAAATTTTGGACTACTGACTACTATTATATATGTTTGTCCTATACACTCTCTGAAATATTGCATGGAAGTGGAAAACCACCTGTTTGGTATTCGGAATAGGGTCATCCACTGTCCAACAGGTCATGATTTTCCACTTTCATGATTTCAGGGAGTAGTTTTTGTTTGTTTTCTCCAATGGAGAGGATCAGAGATCTTATCATTCACCAGGAACTGCACCTGGAAGACCCAAAGTGGCCGGGTGTGCAAGCCACCGGGGTGGAAGTATGATGTAAATGCGTTCTCCAGCAGTTCAGGGGTGCCCATCACATCCACTCACTTAGGGCGACGCCCCATCTCAGCCTGGGGCTACAGGACCAGAAAAACCACCCGACTCCTGAAATCGTGGGTGGTTCAGACAAGAACAGGTCCGTAGGGGTTCTGCTCGACAGCGGAACCGGGACCATCATCGGTTGGTCAGAGTGGGGTGGGCGGATTCTTTTCCAAGTTCCTTAAGTAAGCCAATCAAGTTTAGGTCTTGAATTTAAGCTGTTCCATTGCTTGAAGCATGTTGAAGCTGTTTATTGTGTGTGTGTTCCACTGTTGCTTCATTCTTGATACAGGTGGACACCTCGAGGCTGCCCCACTCCCACCCGCATCTGAAAAAAACGATCTCTTTTTGATGACTGAACCACCCAAAACTGTATTGTACACGAGGTGTATTGTTCTCAGCCTGTCGGGGTTGGTCTCCCCGTGGAACCACGGCCATCGAACGACGTGAGCCGACGGCGCGACGAGGCCGTCGGGCATGGGAGCTGCATGTTGCTCTCAAGCTGAGCCGGGGCAGAAGGACACAACAGTTGGCTTTGAAACCCGGACATGTCCGCCAAGTCGACTGGCAGTGCGGTGGCTCTTCTTGGTTCCATCATCTTGTGTGCATTGAGAGCTCGAAAACGGGGATGCTTTCTAGTGGTGGTAGTGATGCTGGTAACGACTGGTGACCGGTGGCAGATTCTGGTCGTGTCAGTCGCCCCCTTCCGAGTTCCCAGCATTTCACCGGAGGTTTTTCACATTTTTTCACCAGCGTGGGCGATCCAATTATGAGCGAACAGTGGGTTCAGGCACCAGCCAGTTGCACGGAGTCATTGTCGGATCTTACTTTCACATCTTTCACGCCTTTGCTTCGAAGGCTTGTTCGGCCTCCATAACAGGGGCGACAGGGGCGACAGTGCCCTCATAACCGGTTTGTTTGACGGTCCGGATCGGTGTCAAGCAATCGGGGGATGGGTCAGTTTACCCCATACCTCCAAGAATTCATCACAAGAGAATCAAGAGAAGTTCAGCGACTTGCAGAGGGATCAGTTTGGAATAGTTTGGGACCTGCGATGCCATCTCAAATGACTACCCATCAGGCCAGTATCCATGTGGAGGATCATGTTTGTATATGTTTTTCTGTGGACAAAGCCACAGCATAGCTGAGGCTTGAATTCTCTTGCGTAAACAAACTGATAACCTAGAATTTTCAGACAACTTTCTGAAGAACCCCCTTTCTCTCCCAAAACTACTGCGGTCTTCCCCGGTTTGCCCCCCTTGTGTGGTCTTTCTTCGCCACATCCCCAGAGATCCTGTGAGATCCCCTGAGATCGAGTCGCTCCTTTCGTTCGCAGGAGCAGGTGCCGGGCAACCCGCCCTTGGATCCCACCAAGAGCGCCAAGCTAGCTCCTGGAGCTCCCGGGCCCGTGCGGACCCCGGCGTCGTTCACGGGTCGGAACAGCGGGCTCGGGCGATCGAACTGGCAACAAGTGGGAGGGTTCAAAGGAGGGGTTGATGTGGATAAGCTTCGACACGAACACAGACGCAACGACATGGTTTTTACATGAACTCTTCAGCTTCAATCAGTGTCCACCTACGGCACACCGACATCACACCGGTTGGGCCGCCGACAGCACACACGTGAGGCCGGCGTAATGACCGAACTAGGGTCAAAAGAAGTTTTCAAGACCATAAAGGTTGGACTCTCTCCTCCCAAAGCAAATACACTACCAAAAACTAACATAGACCCTGACAATGGCCCCCTGGAAGATTGTTTTCCTCTACCAACCAGTGGTTTTCCAGGGTCCATGGCATCGTCTTCCAGGTGTACCGTAACCGCGGCACCGATTGGGCAATGTTAGTTGAAGACCGCTGAGGGCACCGGGGTTCATGTCGCCCGCCTGTGTTGGACTTGCCGGAGACACTTGACTGCATCGGTCTATGGTCTTACTTTGTTGGGTGTCAGGGCATTGAACTTGGTCTCACAAGGAACGAGGGAGCACCATCTGGTTGATGTACCTTTAAGGTGCCATACCATGTGACGGCCATGTGCATCCATGTGCTACGGTTGTCACCTCTTGCATATCCACAAAAACGTCAAAAGTAAAACTGCCGGTAGAACGTTCTTCGAAGCGGGTCACCCATACCCAGGCAATCCATGGGACTGGAATATGTGTCAGATGAGTCAGATGTGTATATATAGGTGAAGGGTCCATACAATCCGGGCTGCAATGCTATACCGGGTCAATGTATATCCTCCTATTATAGGGCTCCTATCCTTAGAAGGTGATGGCACCATCCCCCTGGCACCCACCCCAACCTTCGACACGGAGGTCGGCCAGGAGTCCCCGCCCCCCCCTGAGGCTTCGAGTCCGGCGCCTGTGGTGGCCAGTGATGGAGACGGCTATAACTACAAGGTGAGGCCGGCCAGTTGATCTACCAAAAACCCCAAAAGGGATGGTTTAGTGGAATTATACCAGGACCCTTCTGTCGGGACACCCCGACAGGAGGGTCCAGGTATACACCCATCCAGTATGCAGTCTCAGACATTTATGATCATGTATGCATTGGGTTTTCGGGCCCGTCGCTTTCTTTGGGGGGGCGACCCGTCTTTCATGCGAAGGGAGGGAGAAGTGCAGTGCCAAGCGAAGATCTATAGCGATTTTTTTGTTGCACTAGGACCCTCCAACGGATGGTGTTAGCACTCTCACCGATGTCACCAGGAAACACCTGTTGTCACCAGGATCTCACCTGTTCGTCGGGTGCCAAACCAGTCGCTCTTCAGATCGCTTGGCCCAGGTGTTTCCAGATGGATCCAGATATGAAGGTCAATGGAAAGACGGGCTGAAGCACGGGAAGGCGCTGTGTGGAACTGTGTGGAGAGTTAGGAGGACACTAGCTGTGCGCCCGGGGCGGACATGGTGCTTGGTAGAGGACAATGACTTTCTACTAGTTCAGGGCTAGGTTCAACAAACACATGCATATTATAGCCACCTCAATCTTCCACCCCAGTGGAACTTGAGTCAACGAGTGCTTGTTTTTAGGTGAGTTCACAAGCTGTGAGTTCAAGTGTTTTGCACGCCTCGAAGAGCATGGATGTAACATCCCTGTCATGCGTGTTTGTTGTCCTGATTTTTTTGTGTACGGTTTATGGATTGAAATGTGTTCTCATAATCAGGAACATGATCCGAAGGCAGGAATCTCCGCAACTTGTTTATAGACGATTGCCAGTCAGTACTAATATTGGCTTCAGGTTCCTGTGACTGAGTCACCAGACATCAATAAATATGCATAAATCACAAACATCTATTCTATCATGCAATATGCTAGCTGCGGAAACATGATTTGCACCTCGCAGCAATGATCCAATTAAGCGAGACGAGTCTTGTCTTTCCGTGCGAACTCACCGGTCCGGGTACTCGCGGCACTCGCCAGGGACGCTTCATCTACCCTGATGGCGACGTCTACGACGGCGTGGTGGTTTCGGTTGGTGACACATGTCATGGGTTTTGAGCTCCACTCCCGCAGGAGGTCAGCTCAACTTGTTTGTGTTCACCAGTCGTTTTGAAGCAGGAAGCAAGATGTCTGTGAACACAAGGTTTGACAGTGGCAAGCGCGCTTTGTAGAATGGCTGCAGAGTTGTTTGGAATGGCAAGCTCATGACCAGAACATGTTGGCAGGACTTCTTTTATTAGCATGTTTTTTGTCCAGTTTCAATCAAGTTCTTGGGCAAGATCCTTAGATCCTGCACCACGACTGGGAACCAAACGGAAATCCCCCCACTCTTCAACAGGCATGCGACTTTGGAGCCATAGGAAAGAAGACTTGGCTCAAATCTCACAGACTATTTGGCTCAAATCCCCCACTCTTCAACAGGCATGCATCTCAAAACTTGGCAAGCCCCAGAAACCACCGCCACCACTAGATGTTTCGTCTCCATGTCTTTACAAGGGCTTCATAATCTCAAAGAGCCACAGTGGCCACTGGCCCACTGGCCATATATGAACTACCACCGAGGGGAAGACACCTGAAAAATAGGTGGCCTCTACTGGAGTTCCCCTTTCAAACGGAGTCACGCAATGCGGACCTTCACGGGAACACATGGAGAAGCAATGAGAAACAATTGAAGTCACATGATGGTAACCTGCTAGGCCTTTTCAGTCGAGCATTTGGTGCCTTTTATCAGATCAGCGGGTAAACCAGCCGGTCAGCGGGAAAAATCCTCCCTAATTACTGCGCCAGAAACGGTCCCTCGCTTGACGATCTCGGTTCTCGGTTCGCAGGTGAGTGGCAAGATGGGAAGGCCCATGGTGGGGTCCTCAGAGAAGAAGCAACGGCGGAGGAGAGATGAGACACTAGCTCCATGTGTGAGCAGGAGGAGAGTCGTTGTGGTCTTTTTTTGGGGGGGGGTGGAAAAAGGGAAAACACCAGGCTATGAAAAGGAGTGATTCCAAATCGACTATATAGTGCATTTTTGGAAGAATGGCCATTGGTTTCTATAATTGACTATATAATCAACACCCAGACACACTCAAAAACATGGGCGCTTGGTCTATTGATCACCACGTGGTCGCCACCCCTTTGTGGTCGCGGCTCATGGATCCCAACCAAGGCCACGGGACGTACACTTCAAAGCAGCTGGATGCCCCAGGAGCGGGCGACGTCTCGCCGTGGACCAACTGGATCGAAAAGGCCATGGAGTGTCCAATCTTTCTTGGTGCGAATTGGTTTCTCTACTCAACGAACGGGTGGACAACCGAAGGAGTCAGTTCTTCCGGGTTTTGGAGCGCAATGGATTCAGCATGAGTTTGGTGATCTGCATTTAACCGCCTTTGTCCAGCTTTTGTCTATTGATCATGTGCAGATCGAAACAAAGATCCAAGATGATCCAAGATGATCCAAGATGATGTTGAGGTAAGCATCTGCACAAATCTGTGCAAATCTTGTGTGCGTGTGGTGCAGATTGGTGTAGGAGTTTTGATTCAAGGCCTTTTGCAGATGGTGGAGTGGTTTTGGAACAACCAGACATCGCCCAGGTTGAACATGCGACATGAATTATTAAGCCAAACAAGGATCAGACACCCACTCAAAAGAAATGATCCGCCTGCTACCAGACTGTACAGTGTGTGATTATTGGTTACATTATAATGCTTTATAACGGTGTATGACCTTCAGCATCAGAAATTGTGGTGCCACCGTGAGATTACGAGGTTGCTTCTCCCACGCCTCGTGTGAGGCAGGCAATTCATGTTTGTTTGATGGTGTGCTTGTATGATCTTATATATATATATATACTTGTGTCTCAACCTGTCTCAGACGCAGCCAGGTTCAACACCCAGCACACTATAGCACACTCGCCACAGCGGAACTCGGGTGACTCAGGTCCAAGTACGTGGGGGACTGGCAGAGTGACCTCAAGCACGGCCAAGCCGTCGAGGAGAGGGACTTGCTGTAGTAATTACTGGGGGTGGGTCGTTTGTGTGGGAGTAGTTTGTTGACCACGGATGGTCCGAACACAAAGGACTGGCGGAGACTGGCGGAATTCTGCTGATTGTTCCTGCCCCCCAAAAAGGCCCCACCCACTCCGGGCCGCCGTCGGAGGTCAAACTGTCATGCCTCGGATGGATTGGGCCGGATGAAGAACGCTCAGGGAAGAGATTCTGTTACCAGTTGTCGGGCGAGCTTGAAATATTGACGAACAACATGCTGTGCTGACTGGATCTATTGGTTGCTTCCAATCTTTATGTTGATCATTGTATCTTCAACCTTAGCCTCCCCGGGACGACTCATCCCGATTCTAAATCTGAGAGGTGGGTTGGTCACGACCTTAAGCAGGAAGAAACAACGTAGCTCAAATCCCCAGTGGTGGGCCAAGAACACTACTACAGTAGTAGCTCCTGGCATCGCTACTAGTAACAAGGGCATTACTACTAGGAACAAGAAGCTACTAGTAGCCAAGGGCATTGTGGCATCGCTACTAGTAGCAAGGACGCTACTATGTATACGTCCTTTTTCTCATCATCAAAGTGGAATGAAAACGACCTGTTTGGTTGAAATCGCCGTGCCTTCAGGGAGTGTATCTTTCAGCCATTCTTTAGGATGTCAGCCAAGAGTTCTCTAAATGGTGACCGGCGACTGGCGGTTTTGGCCTAACTCGTGTCGCCCTCGATGTTGGATGCTGGGAGGGCGTTTCTTTTTCTGCCGGGCGGGTGGCATCAAACCATGGGGTTCACTGGGAATTGCCTTTAAGTGGTGAAGGAAAGCTGCTCACAGTGAGGAATGAAACGAAACAGCTTTGAAAAACAACGAGGCTCCGCAAGAGATGGAGCCGACTACAGCGACTATACTATACACGCTTTTGAGCCATCTCAAGCTGCACCAGGATGTTTTGCACACTCCACGCCTGCACGCTTTTTGAGTTTGTGTGTATTGTTGTTCATGGGTTGTGATGTAAGTAGCATGGCCTTTCGCCGACATGCCAGGCGCATGTGTTGCCTTATGTGTCCTTGCGTTTTCAGATGCGAAGAGAAGGCATGTTGGGGGCCTCACTCTTCTTCGCCTTCGCCGTCGCCCCAGAAAGATATTCAGTCGACGTAGTGATAAGAAGGGCCAACCGACTGCAACAGCGTCAGGAGTGGGACGACACGTCAAAGTACACCGGCACCTACTCTCATGGGCAGAAGCATGGCAAGGGCAGGTGCGCCAGAAGCTTGTGTTTGAAACGCCGAGCCGTAGGCTGCTAGTCTTCAGTTGGTTTCGTCACTCAGGTTTGTATACCCCCAACCACGCCAACGCTCCAGTGGCTGACTGGTGCTCAGTAGAGAAGGACAATAGTTTGGATTCATGCGTTTGTGTTTGTTCTTTTTCTTTTGGCAGCGTCTGCTACTGAGTCCATGATTACCTGTTGAGATCGTTGGGGAAAAAAATCAAGGGCCATTTGTGCACCTGGATTCTGGATCAATGCACTGCTGCAACACAGGACTAATATGTGAAGTACATATGATAAAATATAAATAACATAACATAACCATTGCCACTTTGAACTGGCTTCATCACGCTTCATCCTAATTCGTTCCACTCCCTTTCTGACTTTGTCACGGTCAACAGGCAGTTGGGCTGTGCAAAACAAAGCAACACCACCAGCCACCTCGCCCGAAACCACCTCACTCAGACCGACTGCGGCATGCACCACCGCCGGGGTTTCTCCACATGTGCCGGTTTCTCACGGCCGACAACCGCAGGTTTGAATGGCCTGATGGCTCCGTCTACGACGGCGAGTTTCGCAACAACAACGCCCGGGGCGCCCGACACAACGACGCCAGCGGTGCGACGCTTTCGGCTTTCGGAGCCGCACCCCACAAGAGCCGAAGAGCGCGAGCAGACGAAAAGGCGGCCGGTCGTGCTGTTTGATATATATCTATGATGTTTTATGTTGTTTTTGGGTGGAGCGAGTTGCGCAAGCGCAAGGCCGCGAGCATCCGCGAGCCAAATATGGCCGGTCAGGAAACGCCGTTCGGCGGATCTGGTGCGCGGAGATTTGCGGAGGTGGTGGTGTTTGGGAGGGTGACGGCGAGGGTGAGGGGTGGCTATCAGATGTGGTCGGAGGGGCTGTGAACCTGGCAAAATGGGAAGAATGATAATTAAGTAAAGAAAGCTGCAAAAAATGGAGAGGACAGATTTTGTGGAAGGTTACCAAAAAGGGGCTGTTATTCCGGTATTCCATTGTCACACAAAATCCCAAAAAGTCCGGAATACGAGACGTATGTTGCAACTTCCCTGAGACTTCCCAGCTTTGAGGTGAAGTCTTATGCCGAATTCTGATGCCGAAGCGCGAATCACGTGCATCATGCGAATCCGCGCATCGTCCCTGCTGTTAGGTGGAAGGTGAAGGGACCTTCACCTGGAAGGAGCGACGTTTCGCTCGCCGGTTCACCGTTGGCTTCGCCGGTCGCTCGGAGAGACGTGATACATCGTGAGAGGATGGGGGCGGTTTGCCCCCCATCGTGAGACCGCGCTCCGGTGCTGAATTCGGTGGTTTTGTTGGGTAGACGTTCGGAGGATGGGCGGTTTTCACTCGGTTTTTGCAGGATGTGTCGGGGTCCCCAAAGCCGCTCCCCCTGTTTCCCCAGTCCGACTGTCCGCAGGATGGACGACAGTACAAGGGTCAATGGGTGGACAACCGCCGCTTGGACCGGTTTGGGCATGCTGAGGAGGGAGGTTTGGGGGTGGTCTTTTTACCACAGGTTTGGGGGGAATCTGCAGGGTTTGGTATATAGAAGATGTCGCCCAAGTGTGCTCTTGAGCACTTGGGGTCAAATTGCTGGGGGGGGGCATTAGGGGAGGAGCGCTTTTGATGATGAGTGTCTTAAACAAAGGTGAGGCTTGTCATACAAAAGGCACAAGAAAGGGATTGGAGGAGAGACAGTTCCATCGTTTCGGTGGGCCTGAATGTTGGGGAGAAGGTGTTCTTCAAGTATCCAAATGCTTCCGGTCCTGCCGCCCTGTGGTTTTGATTGTGGTGGGCAAACACCATGGCTGTTTGCTCAGCAATGAGTTTTTGTGTGCAACACGAATGACACATTTCTGGAATTGGGCCTTGAGTAAACCGTGATCCTTCAAAACATCCAGCAAGAAGAGGCCTATGCTGGTCAAAGCGGTGCTGGCAGAACAAGACCACAGGTCCAGGCAACCCACGACAATCGAAACCACACGGGTTGAAACCACTGAATCAGCCGCTTTATTTCACATATACGTCAATAAGAACTCTGAGCAGCCCTTCACCCAGGTCAATATGTTGGACACGTTGGACTAGACCGCATTGATTGCAAGGACAAGTGTTGCTACTTGGTGTCCTGTATTTGCATGCAAACTTACTGACCAGCTGCGCAGTCTTCATGATCTCGCTCCGTCTTTGTTGTTTTGGTTGCTCGTGAGTCACTGCAGATCTCTTTCAGTGGTGGTACTGGCGTGGTTGTGGTGGTGGTGGTTGTCGTCGTAGTAGCAGTAGTAGCAGCAGCAACAGCAGCAGTAGCAGGAGGAGTAGTAGCAGTAGTACTAGTAATGAGGTTGTGGTTTGGGTTGTGGTTGTGGTTGTTTCCATTGTTGTTGTTGGTGGTGGTGGCGGCGGTTTATGTTGTTTGCTTTAACATTTGTTTGTTTGTACGTTTGTGTGGTGTGTTTAGTAGTACATGTGTTTTTTTTCAATGCTGCTGTTGGCGTTTCGTTTCCTGTTGGTTGCATTTTGTTGATTTCCAGAGTTGGTCATCTAGGTATCGGTGCTGTTGTTCGTTGCAGCACCATCACTGCGTGTATGCGGTTCTTTTAACTATAGCCAGGTTTTTGGGCTCTGGGTTTGCAGACACCTAGGACTGGGGCCTCTATGCAATGGAAATAGTTACTGTATATAACGCTTAATTATTGATTATACTTAATGTAATTTATTTTTGTCACAAGACTCTCACAGCAATCGCAGCAAGTGTCAGAGGCCTTCTTCTCTCCTGCATGGAGAGAGTCTCAGACTTCTACTAAAGTTTGCAACAGGATGTTTCCGTCAAGAACAAAGTCCTATTCCGCAACTCTCCATTCTTCTGAAACTTTCCGAATAAAACTTTGACCTTTCTGTCAATTATGATGAATATTGCCCATTTCCCTTTGGTTCCCTCCTTTCTGTCTCCAGACGGCTTGACACGGACCATTCACAGCCCCAAGGAATGCACGGCGAGGGCCGTTACGAGTGGCCTGATGGGAGAGCCTATGAAGGTGGGGAAGTGAAAAGTGAAGAGAGCACCGAGCACCTGCCTTTGAACAATGTGCTGTACAACATTGTACAAGATTGTATTGGGGTCGGGTCTTTAACCAATATACTCTAAACAATCTCTAATATATCTCTAATGTATACCAGCATGGGTGTGTCTCAAGAGTATAATGTTCGTTCCGTTGGGCAAGGACGCTTGACCCCTACTTCTTCTGCACGCCAGGTCTAACGGTCCGTTGATCGGTACATCCATCGACCGTGGTTTGACTTCAACATCCTTGAAGGAGTCAAGTTGTATACAATGTTCCACCGATTCCTCCTGGAATCGGTGGCTTTGAAGGCTGGGGTGGAAAGGATTGAGACAATTGCTGTTGAATGTATCCAAGAGCAGGTTGGAAAGCACAATCATGCAGTGGGCAGGTGCCGTCAGTGCGGTCCCCATCCTCAGTCAAATGTAAGAGGGCCCCACAGAGATCTTTTTCGATGGATGTGTTTCCATGTTTTCACAATGCTCATAACATGCAAGGGCTCCTCAAGCGATGATTTGTACTGAGCCCTCATGGTGAAACCATATTCCGTCAAATATTAATACAGTACACGCACCGGCATGACGGGGCACATTCCCCCTGCATGAGTGCACAACAGTCTCCTCAGAGTTGGCTTCAGCCGTCGACCACTGCTGCGCAACTACCTGCTGGCCCCACTCCTCGATGGCGCCCACAACTAGAGCGATCACATGCCAAGTGTAGAGTTCAACCGTTCCATTCAAGAGCCTATCAGGCTTCTTAACATACCCAGCCCGGTTCGTCGCGTTTTAGCGCGAAGATCGAAGATCAATGACGGCTGCTTGAAAAGGTCAGTACATCAACGACCTCAAGGACACGCCGAGAGCGAAGTTGACTGACAACGTTTCTTTTTTTAGTGGTCTTGAATGACTACAATTACTTTTTTTGAGGGGTGCTCTCATCATGTTAAATCATGGTATTATTGCGGTGTTTAAAAATCATTGTACTGTAGACTGTAGACCCTTGAGGTAAAGAGTCTGGTTCTCTTCACTGCAAAGGTCAATCCTGAGTGGCAAACAAAATTGAAGAGACGGTTTCAGTGCGACCCATTTCCTGGCACACACGCCGATGTCCAGGCAGGGCATTTGGAATTCTATCCCATTTTGCAGGATTCACTCATGGAAACCTCATTGTCGATTTGTCAGAGCGTATATTGCTCTAGCAATCAAAGTGCATGTGCCATATTGTTTGGTGGTATATTAGAATATACTGGTATGTCAATCTAGGGACACCCTCCAGTTCACAACTTCCAGCTTTTTAGAGCATTGTTGGGGGCCCAACTCCACCCTCCACGACCCTTGAGCGTTCGAATAGTGTGACTTCATTCGGCCTCAAAGACTTAACACCCAGCGCCCAGTCTGCCCAGTGCCTTGAAAAGCGAAGATTGGCAGGAAGGGGAAGGGACCTTCCTTTGGGCTGATGGGTCTGGCACTTGTTGGTGTCCTTTTTTGCTGAATATCACGTGAAGTCACACTGCCAAGGATGTTTCTTCCTTTATTAATTTATGTTGTTCTTTCACGCTGGTGAATCACACTGACTGCGCATGAAGGGTTGGGGCGATCGTTGAGGCTGTGTTGGGAGGCATAGAGATCCATTGAGATCCTAAGGAGCGGTGATGAGGGGTGTAGGTGTGTTCATGTTGTTGTTCTCCCCCTAAGAATCCTTCGGCTCCCATGGCAGGGGTCGGACCCTCCATAGCAAGGGGTTTGGGCCCTCAAAACCCTATCCGGATTCTTAGGGCCATAGTGTTAAACTTTGAACATGACGATGGAAGATCGCCGGAAAGCCACTGAAGGCTCGTGTTCCTTGTAGGAATGACATGTCCATGTGACCAAACAGTATCTATATGACATGTTCATGTATTGGCATGTTTCTTCAATCCCACCCCACATGAGTTTTCGTTCCAGGAAACATAAGGAAATCAAACGATATCAAATGCAATGCGAAGAACGTGCACTTTTATCATGATCCATGGTGCCAACGGGATCCACCTTCAGGGCGAAGAGTGACATGCGGACATGCGAAGGTGCGGGAAAAAACCGGCGACGAGCCTTGTCCCACTCCTACCCAGGAAAAGTGGGTAGCCTTTAACCTTTTTAATTGACCTCTTTTGGGGATTGGTTTCCTCACTGAACATGGAAACGGGTTACAGTATCCTTTGCTTTCTAAGGGACCTGAAGGAGTCAGCAGTGAACTTCAAGAAGCGGTGGTGATGAAAGTACCAGAGGGTCTTCTTCCCCATCTCCCCATCTGAAAAAATCCGATCAATCTGTGCCTTGCTGAGGCGGAAGTTCACCGGGCAATGGAAGGACGGCAAACAGCATGGCGTTGGGGTGGCTGGGTTTGCAAAAGAGGAGCCCATCCGCGGACCATGCTGGGGACCATCCAGGGCGGTTCGAAGAGGAGTCGCTCCAATGGATGCCCTGTCTCCAATGCAGTTGACTGATGGAACCAGTTGACTGGCGCAATGATGTACATGTTTTGAAAAGAAAAACAGGAGTTGGACTGCCGCAGGTCGAATCGTCAGTCCTTCGTCCAGTCTGGGGGGTTCTTCCCACCGGCCAAAAAAGGGTGGTGGGCTCCAGGCTCCAGGCCCAGGCCGCGCACCCGATGTTTGGACATGGAGGACGTGGCGGAGATGGAGCTTGTATACAGGTCGGCCGCAAAAACGCTCCACCATGTCACATGGTCACCTGACCGGGACCAAAACCTGAACCACTCCCGCGCCAACTCCCGGCTCGCTCCGCAGCGCTCCGTTGGCAACGAGCGCTGCGACTCCTCACGGTCCCAGGTGTTCCGCACCGCCCACGGCGACCAGCGCACCGGCGAGTGGAGAGAGGCGGAGCTGCCCCTCCCCGGTGGATGGAGGGGGGCCAGCCGGCCAGCATGATATAGGACGAGGATGAGATTGTTGTCTCAGGTGGAACGGTGGAACCATTGGACTCTAGGGTGTTATGACCCCTCAACGTGTTGTTGTGTGTGTTTTGTTTTAATAACTTATGTTCTGGAGCTGGAGCTGCTGTGGTTGTCCTTGGGAGTTGGGATTGCAGATCAGTGACAGTTGTGATGTACAACCTCCAAGGCACTGGACTCTTCAGGCAACCAGGGATTCGGTGGACCATGTGATTCGGCCTCCATTCGATTGTGGGAGGGTGGGATCTGGGATTGCCATATCGTACAAGTGCAAGATCTCTACTCTTCGTGGCATCTTGGTGCAAGGTTGGTTTGGTTTTGGTTTGTGCTGCAATCCTTGTGCTGGTTGGGTACTAAGCAGACCAACTTTGTGCCATCGGCAACAAATCCTGGACCCTTGGTGTGTGAACTCCGACATAGGGGGCACCACGGGCCTGCCACAGTTTGAAGCCAGTGATCCTGCAAAGGCTGCATTGTGTGATGGGAGTCTCACCCTGCAAGGCCTAACCGGTGATGAACTCAACTCCACTTCCATGATGATTGCAGGGAGTGAATGGTAAAACACTTGAGTCGGACTAGACAAGATCCAGTTGCAAATGGGAAGAACAACATGTTTGCCAAACGCTGGTGTGCGTGTGCCTGAGAATTAGCCCCAAGCAAATGCTTGAATTGTGGGTGGAAGGCGGAAGTAAACGATCATATCAAGTTCACCAGATCCACAATTCCACCGGAGAAATGCAGACTCTTGACGCATCACCCCCATATCATCCATCATGGCGCCTGTCGCTATCCTTAAAACGGTGCTTTAGAAGTAACTGATTCTTGAGAAGTCCGATTGGGCTCGCCCTTCGGCACGAAGACTCCTCGGACGAACCGCCCAGGGCGTGCGAGTCTGTTGGGTGGACGAGGCCTGGGGTGGACGGGGTTGCGGCAGGGGTGGGAGGAGAAGAGGGAGGAGAGCCCTCCGTTTGGGCATCTGGAGCCTCAGGAGAGCCACTGGCGTCACAGTTCATAGTTCATGAAGAATGTTTCAAGGATATTGAAGGGAAACATGGGGGGAAACGAACGTGTGTTTTTGGTACTTGTTGTTTTTGTGTGTTTTACTTGTTCCTTTATTTTTTTGTGTCTGTTTCGGTGTTCGCCTCGCACATCTTGCTGCCGAGGGCTGCAGCCTACAGCCCAGGGTCAGAACATCTGTCATATCATATGTCCATTAGAATATAGCTATGAATCATGCTCCTTTATGGCCAGTATTGGGGAGTCCGCCATTTCGATCTTTTCCATGTTGCCAGGCGTCAATGCTGGCCTTTTGGGTGTGTGGCCAGGCGTCTGTTTCATGATACCCCGAAGTGAACAACCAAGACCTCGGTGGACCTGGCATCGATTCCTCTCTATTCCCAAGACCTCGGTGTACCTGTCCTGCGGCGCGCGCGTGCTTTCACGCGACACCACGGGACTCCTACGACCATGGTGAGGACATGTGAGGACATGGTGAGGACTCCTCTACCACCTTGGTGCGTAAACCGGCAAGTCATGGGCTGTTATTTTTTTTCCTATCTACCTGTTGCAAAGAACCTAACCTAAACCTTTGACTCTGACAACTTGCATGATCTTCTGCCAAAAGTTGTATTTCAGGCACTTTTTGTGCTTTTGAAATGTCGTGGATGCTTTACTTTTTGGATCTGTTTGCTTCCCAATCCTCACCAACTCGCCGTGCTCCTCAGGCGCCCAACAACGTCCAAGCATAGAACGTTGCGGCAGAAGGGACGAGGCAGTGCCAGAAATGGACGAGGCAGTGCCCTTATCTATTGGAACGGTTCCCGGGAGAAGAGAGAGCCCTAGTCGTTGAAAGTGGACCAACCCTAAGACCTTGCCTAAATGCAATGACCAGCACAACCCAACAGGGTGGTTATATGTGGTTATGGGTTAAACCATACATCTTCTGGATTCTGGAGGGTCTATAAAATAGCCTTTGGGTGGTGCTGGTAGCTCATTCTGATGTTGTTCATTAGTCCGACATGGTTGCAGCAGCCCATACGCTGGTGCGGGGAAGACGGAGGCCCACCTTCCAGCGGAGACAGCTGGCGACGTCTTCCCGCCCGGTGGCACCCCTTGTAGCCAAGCAACCCAGGGGTTCCAGTGCCCCCCATGCTGACAGACGTCCAATGGAGTAACTGAGGCAATGATTCTTTTGGAGCCCTGTTGGGTTGTGAAATGCGACCAGATCATCCAAAGATACGTACCTTTAGAGACGTGGTTTGGCAAGTAGGTCTGCAAAGAGATGGACACAAGATGACACGAGTACGTTTTGCATAGTGGTTCCCAAACTGAGAGAAACAATGTTCAAGACTGTTTTAGACGGGATTCACTGTTCTATCTATACATTCTGGAGTCACCAGAACTCCATATACAACATGTCTTGAGACTGTCAGTATCCTGTTGATAAAGTCATGGGGTCCGGTTCTTTATATATTTATCCGGGGGGTTGAAAGACTGCTTGCTAAGCTGTTTTCAGGAAGAACAATGACAGGCATAGATCAAACAAGCTGAGCCTTACGCGTCCATAGATCAAACAAGACTTGGGGGCCTAGTTGTGACCGGTTGAACCCTGGCAAGGCTGGTTGAGACTTCGAGACCCTCAAACAGATGATGTTGGAGTCTTTGGAATCGTGCTGTGAAGATGAGAGGTACCCTGGTGCGACTTTCTTTGTTGGAATGGTGTTTTCTGTCACTGCCTGTCAGCAAGTCAACGTTGAACATGTTACGCAGGAACAGGAGCTTCAGTTGCGACAGGCGGTGAACCTCCACTCTGTTTTCACGGTGGCACAGCGGCACCGTTTTCGCACCGTTTTGGACCACTGGGATCCACATGATCAGTCCATCTAAGAGCTCCCTGTGAAAGCACCCTGTTGCAGACTTAGGCTTCTGATATCTTCTGATCAGGTCCTGCGATGTCAAACAGCCGCCCTTTAAATACATAGGACTTTCACAAAGGGGTCCTTATTTCAGGTGTGTGAAGGATCTTAACTCACCCAAAAGACAACACTTGAACGTCGCCGCCTGAGCAACTGGCACCGCCCATGGCGCATGCAAAGAACGGTTTCTCTGGTGTTCACCCGGACCTTACCGGCCCGATAGAACACCGCAGAAACCCATGCTGCCGTCGGGACCTCGCGCGCCTACCTCGCGCTATGTACGACATCCATCCGTTTCACCACTCGGAGTACGGCCTCAAGGGCCAAGAGTCAGTGCCTCCCTCACACGGCCGCTGGAGTCCGTGGCTTCGCTGGGGAGTCTGTGGCTTCGTTGGACACTCTTGGGACTGGACCCCTGATGAACTGGAGAAAACATACCGCGAAGGATCAATGATCAACATTCATGAAGTACAATTGCTCTTTTGATCTTGTCCACCTTGCCCTTGAAAACTCTTGAGAAGAGCACCAAAACGACCTATACGAGATGGCTTCTCCGATCTTTTTGTTCTTGAAGATTGAGGATAAGAGGCGATCATCAAATCTGAAGCACCCGGCAACCGACAGAGCTCCCAGATCCTTGGAGCAATTCTTGTTGGAGACCTGGGAAGGCTCAGCCAGGCTCTTGGGATGAAGTGAGTGTTTTTTCATGGTTTTTTCCAAGGAATCCTGAGTCCAAATCCAAGATTTGTGTTGTTCTTCCTGGAATGTTCCAGGTTTTCTGAGTAAAGGGTATATATAAGTATACCTTTACATAGCATAGAGATACATAATAGATGGAACTTCAAAGTTTGGGATCTGTGCCACGCAGAGCATGTCTTTTCCCCAGCGAACCGATGGAGGGCCTATGGGAGGGAGCAGGAAGATCCGCCAGAGGCGGTGCATCGGTAGCTGGCCTCACTCATGAACAGCCTGCCTGGGATAGTTTAGGAGGCAAGGAACCGGTATCAATATCCCCCTTGAAACAGGAAGCCAAGGAGCTACATTTATATGCAGCTCCCAAAGCACTCACTAGTGGAACAACCTTCTTAGAGATGCATTGCCTGTGGCCGTGGAATAGAGAGACGCTTGACGCTCCAACTCTCCGGGTACGAGGGAAGATCTACGAACGACTAGAATGAATGAGGGAAGAACCCACATACCTTAGGATCCAGTCCCTGATTCTACTAAGCACCAGTCAGTCCAGTTTAGTTAGTAGGGGTGTTAGATGTTCAAGAAGCAAGAATGCTATGGGAATCCCGGAATCCTTCTCAAGACATCACAACTGATTGACACTCCAACTATCTCCAATTGGTCCTCCCAAAGCCACAACTTCTCCTGCATCACAATGGATATCCTTTTCAATCTATGACATATTCCTGGTGATCCATGGATCTCCGGAATGTCACCAAAACCCACCCGAGAGACGCCAAACTTGGCGGAGTAGATTTTTGTTGGTACCCGGAGACTGACCTAGGGATCCAGTCGTACCGAACCTCAGAAGGTACTTGGACCCTCAAAACCTACATAATTAAGAGTGTCTCCAATCACCTTCTGAGAAGGTATAGATGAGGAAACATCTTTGTAGATGACTAGCAGTTGAAACAACCACAGAGTGTCATGAGCCAGTTGCTATATAGCTAAATCTATCCTTCTCGTCAGCTGCTGATGCCATCTCAGCGCGGACCCCATGTCCAGCGGAGCTCGTCGTTATCCATCGAGACATTGAACTTGATCCGGGGGTCGAGGAATCCTATGGACGCACTGCAAGTCAACTTTGAGAATTCAATGAAAAGAGCCACCTACCCAAAGATCCCAGAGTGGGAAGGCCATTGAAGGCTCTTTTGGGAAGGTCGCCGCAACTAGCTGACAAGCTGCTTGGCTAAAGTGGAGGCCGCAGCTTCCTGTACCTCGGCATGAAACCTCATGTAGTTTTGTGGTGAACGTACCTTTAGGAACAGGAGCAGGCCCAGGTTGCATTGAAAGGAACACAGAAATTCTCCTGGACATTCGACATCTCGAGTGTCTTTTCTGGTGTATGATTTATCAATCAATCAGTCATGTGGCCACCCGGTTCCTGACTGACCAAATGAGTCATTTTCCCAAGCACCAAACTACAAAATGGACCAGTACCAGGCGGATTTGGATTCATCATTTTAGCCCAAAAAGTTAGGGGCTCACAACCATTTGTCCATTCATCCATGTCGTCATAGCGCAATTCATAGGGTCTTTCGGGCCAAATTTATGTTTCTCGAAGGATCGAAGGATGCAATTCGGAGGAAAGCCCATCAGCCCCACGGGATTCGACCCTCGAAGACGCCGAATGATCCGAATGGTGCATGTGACGGCAATAAACAAATTTGATCAAATTTGGATAAAAATATGATTAATCTTATTATAATTCCTATTGTAATTGAAAACACATGTTCCCACGTCCTCGTAGGTTAAGACGAACCAGGTGCATCGGTTCTTTGTAGGGTTTGGGCTCACAGCTGATGGGCCTTTGCCGCGATTGTGGCCTGTCCTCGGGAGACGAGGCCACTTGCATCTTTTGCCGCGTGCGCACGATGTGGTGGACGGTCTGTGACGACCTACCCGTTCCTCTTCGCGGCTGGGCCATATCCTCGATTAGGATTTGGACTGGAATTCTGCAAGAAGAGAGCGAGAAGTTCCACGAATCCCAGCGGCAACGTGAGGAGGCCGAGCGCACTGCATCGCCGAAGAGCGCAAGCCTAGCGGCACCCGCCAATACTCCTAAGAAGGGGAGTGAGCCTCAGGGAGAAGTCGATCGCCCCGACAAGAGTTGGATAGAGGCCAAGAAGGAAAAGGACGTCAACAAGAGCCCGAAGGGTAGCCCAGGTGTGGTTGACCTTAGCCCTTTAGAGGAGGAAGAGAAAGCCTCAAGTGGATCCAAAGTGGTAAGAGAGAATCGAAAGACTTCGAGGAAGAGGAGTCGAAGCCGCAGGAGGAGAGACAGAACCCGAAGCAGGTCGAATAAAAGGAGGCGAAGGAGCTCTTCACGGAGGGCCAGGACGCCAAAAGAGGACAGAGGACGAGACAAGGAAAAGAAAGCAAAGCCATCTGTCAGACCACCCAGAACGCCATCAAGGTCACCGCCAAGAAACAGGGGAGGACCCCCTCCTAAAGAACCTCCAGTACCAAGGAATTCAGGGCCTCCGGCTCCGGTGGCTCGGCCATCTGGTCGCTACTGGACAGGCTCTTTCAAAGCTTGGCGAGAGCCCCAATACTGGGGAACGAACAAGGGAAGGAAGAAGAAGGAAAATCAATACTACGGGAGAAGGTAGTAGCAGAGAGGTCTACATCCTCGATGGCATTGAGGAGACCGGCAGCACTTGTTCGCAGACCGGGCAGGGCCAGAGGAGAACCTCCTGAGGCAAGGGGAGGCGAAGTGAGACGACGACCAGCAGCAGCCGTTGATCCTGAAGGTGCAGCTGGACGTGCCGCCCCGCCTGGGGCTGAAGGTCGAAAAGAAGAGGTTGGGAGAGAGTTCGAGAGCGGCGTATTGGTGCCATGTCATCAGGTGCCAATCGAGGTTTTGAGGAAGCGTCTCGCCATAGAGGCCAGTGGAATTTATTGGGGGCAGAGCGGAGGAGTGTGAGGATTGGTGCACGGCATCCATATGCGGAGTCGAGAGGACGTGGAGTTGGAGGTGGTGCTGCAGGGCACCAACCTGGAGTCCATCCTCAAGTGGGCTTCCGGGTCCGAGGACAAGCTCATGAGGATCCACCTCTGCGGGGCGAAGTGCCCCGCTCCCCTCGAGGCCGAAAACTACCTCCATGGAGAGTTCATTCGGGCCCGGACCGGAGAAGACCTTCCGTGGATGATGAATCTGGTGGCCGAAGTGAGGGAAGAGAAGCAAGAGCTCCCTGCTCAAC